AACACATCATGTGAGACTAACCTTGTGTGCTCTTTTTTTTTTTTTATCAGGGTTAATATAGGATAGTCTAGGCCAACGGTTCCCCAAGTGTGAGCCTTACACAAACATGTAAGGGGCCCTACGTTGGCCCCAGGGGAGTGCACAACCAATCAATGATTCGAAGATGGGTCATATTCCAACCTCCCTGGGATCTAGTTAGAGAGCTTATCTCCAACACAACTCCATCACTGTCTTCAGTGATTATCCCCCACCATTTTCCCACTCTGCCCTCTTCCCCTACCCCTATGTAAGCTCCTATCTTTCCCCTTCTATTCTAGGCTGGTCAGCCCCTCTAAATGATTTTAATCCAAATAAGACTTGGGTATTCACAGCAGCTGTGCAAATATCACTGGGAAAATCTCCTCTCTCCCCACATATAGTGAACCCCTCTCCCCAAGATCACCTCCTGGCTTCTTTAAAAACCACCCTTTCCCTTACATTTTCACTGGTGAGTGAGTCACATAGGATAATCAGTCATGGTTAGGTTACTATCAAAGATCTCATTATCTTTTCCCCAAATCAACCCTTCTTCTGAATATTTCCATTTCTAGTGAGGGCCATCTTTCCAACCACCAAGGTTCACATTCCCAATGTGATCCTGGAGGTTTTTCAAGGATTTATCATTTATTCTGCTTTTGTTTGAAAGAATACTCTACAGGTGTCAAGGTGTTTGACTCCTAACTATATACCATGCTTTCTTGCTAGATTTGTGATCTGGTTCCTGAACTTTCTGTCCTCCCACTCACTTGATTCCTTATTCTCATCTCCGTCAACCCTTCCACCCCAAAATCCCCACCAACCCAATTCTTCTGCTGTGCCTTCTGGAATCTGTGCCTTTTCCCATAGGCAACAAATCTGTCTTTGTCTTCTTAAATCCTTTCCTCACCCACTCCTTCCATCTTCTAGCAACCACCAAGACCTGGCTCCGCCTTGATGAAACAGCATCTCTGCCCACGGCTTCCAGTACTGGCTATACTTTCACTTATTCCCTTGTCTCATCTGTCAAAGTGAGGGAATTGAAATGTTCCTTGCTCCCTATTGCACCTCCCAAGTTCTCCCCCTCCCTCCATCACTGAACATACCTTTCTTCCTTTGAGATGCATACAAACCACATTTTCCATTCAACTAAAACCCTGTTGTCTACAGACCTATAGGACACTCCTATATGCCTACAAACTCTCCTCAATGAATTAAGTATCTGGTTCACAATCTTCCTCTCTGTCCCAAACTCCTTCCCTCATATAAGGAGATCAACATACTTATTGACATTCCCTCAAATACTGAAGACTTTTAGCCCATCCTCTCATTAAATATCCACCAATTAGGGTTGGCTTTCACTTGTCAAGGGAATTCCCTTCCAGAAGCGTTATTTAAAGCTTTCAGGGTCTCCATTGGGAGTCTATGATTACCAAGAGAAACCACTGACCAATTTATTGATTGGCAGCTAGCTTAATTAATAAGTTGATTATTAATTCCCCAGAAACTATGTCTTGGAATTTTCATTTGTTTCTACTATACAAGTTTTGGTGTATATGCAGACACTTTCTTTATATCAATTACCTCATCGGAGTATGTGCTTAGTAAGGAAATCTCTGGGCCAGAGGGTTTGGGCATTTTAGATCTTTTATTTGCATAATTCCAAAATGGTTATTCTAAATCACATCTCCTCCAGAAATGCACAAGTGTACCTATCTTCTCACAACCTTGTCAACATTGACTATTTCCGTTATCTTTGTCAACTTGCTGGTTGTGAGGTGAAAGGGTTATCTTGATTTGTATTTCTCTTTATTATGAATGATATGGAGGCATTCTTTCAAAGTTATTCATAGTTTGCAATTCTCTGAAGAACTGTTTTGTCTTCTTTGATCTCTTCTCTGGGGAATGGCTTTGGCTTTTTTATGTTTGTTGCTGTACACAATCTTGGATACCTTAACTTTTTAAAAATAATATTTTATTTTTCCACAGTTACATGTAAAGATGTTTTTTAACATTTAAAAAATATTTGTGTTCCAAATTTTCTCTCTCCCTCCCTTACTTCCCCTGCTCCTTGAGAAAGTAAGCAATTTGATATAGGTTATACATGTTCGATCATGGAAAACATTTTACCGTCCATATCAGTCATGTTGTGAAAAACACAGACCCAAAGAGAGAAAAAAATGAAAAAAAAATACAGAAAGCAAAAAATAGTATGCTTTGCTCTGCTTTCAGACTCCATCAGTTCTTCCTCTAGAAGTGGATAGAATTTTTCATCATGAATCCTTCGGAACTGTCTTGGATCATTGTATTACTAAGAATAGCAAAGTCATTTACAGTTGATCATTGTATTGTACAATATTGCTGTTACTGTGTACAATGTTCTCCTGGCTCTGCTCACTTCACTTTGCATCAGTTCATATAAGTCTTCCAAGATTTTTCTGAAACCCACCAGCTCATCATTTCTTATTTCACAGTAATATTCCATTACAACCATATACCACAACTTATTCAGCCATTCCCCAACTGATGGGCATCCCCACAATTTCCAATTCTTTGCCACTACAAAAAGACCCATTATATTTTTGTACAAATAGGCCCTCTCCCTTTTTTAAAATCTCTTTGAGTTATAGACCTAGTAGTGGTATTGCTAGATCAAAGGGCATGCACTGTCTTATAGCCCTTTGGGCATTGCTCCAAACTATTCTCCAGAATGGTTGGATGGGTTCACCACTCCACCAGCAGTGCATTAGTGTCCCAATTTTCCCACATCCCCTCCAACATTTATTTTTTTCTGTCATATTAGCCAATCTGATAGGTATGAAGTGGTACCTCAGAGTTGTTTTAATTTGCTTTAAGGACCTTTTAATTGCTAAATCCATGGTCTTTCCTCATACCTCATCAATTTTTCTGCAGCACTTCACCATGATGACCACTTCTTTTCTGGTGATACTTCCAATTCCCTTGAATTCTATGGTCACAGATCTGGTTCAGACTGCTTCTTGATCTTCTCCCTCCTAAATCCCCAATTTAGGGTAGTCTAAAGTAGTGGAAAGAACACTGGCTTTGAAATCAGAGGACCCAGTTTCAAATCCTACCTCTGCTGTTTCAGTTTCCTCATCTGTAAAAAGAGGGCTTGGGATTATTAGATGACCTCTGGGATCCCATTCTGCTCTAAATGATATTCTCTCTGTGGAATTCCTAAGTGGGTGACAAAAGTGAAGGGCATACCAGAAGTCTTTTTTTTTAACATTTATTTTTAAAAATTTTGAGTTCTAAATTCTCTTCCTTCAGCCCCTGCCCCACCTAAGGCAACAACGTGATGTCAATTATACATGTAAAGTCATGCGTTAATATATTTCTATATTATTCCTGTTGTGAAAAAAGAGTGGAAAAAAATAGCTTCAATCTGCATTTAGACTCCATCAGTTCTCTCTATGGAGCTGGATAGCACTTTTCATCATGAGTCCTTCAGAATTCTTAGATCATTGCATAGATTGGCTAGTTTTATACAGCTGATCATCATTACATTACTTTTGTAACTGCGTACAATGCTCTTCTGGTTCTGCTCACTTCACATTAGTTTGCATTAGTCTTCTCAGGTTTTTCTGTAACCACCTGTTCATTTCTTATAACACAATAATATTCCACCATGATTTTATGCCACAATTTGTTCAGCCATTCCCCAAATCCCCTCAGCTTCCAAATTCTTTGCCACCACAAAAAGAGCTGCTATAAATATTTTTGTACATATAGGTCATTTTCCTTTTTCTTCGATCTCTGGGATACAGACCTAGTAGTGGTACTGTTGGGCCAAAGGCACATTAGTGGTCTTGGGTTATGGCCCCTTCCCTACTGGAAATATATTTTAGCGATAGCAAAAGACATAACTGGTGGGAACCCTTAGAGTGTAAGGATAAGCTTCTAAAGCCCAATTTAAAGCCAATACTTCTCTCCCCCATGACAATACTTAGAAGAGGGGGAGAATGAGAAAGAAGCAAAGCAACAAAAATGAAACTTAAAACCTCAATTGACCTGTAATTTCCTTGATTTGTGTACCTTTCCAATTTTGTGCAGAGCAAAATGATTTTTCATTCTGTATAATTGTTCATATCTTTCAGTAAATTCTTTATAGAAAATCTAACATAATGGAACCCTTCCTCTGGTTCTTTGAACATTTTGTGGCTACTAGTACTGGTGCAGCATATGGGATGGCAATTAGGCCTAGTTCTTGATACACATTTGACTTATATTGCTACATTTCTATAATTAAAATTTTCCTATGTCTTTTTAAAAATAAACACACTGCCTGAGTATATTTTGGCTTTTTAAAAAATTAAGTATTTATCTTGAACACTGCCATAACTAATGAACTGTTTGTTGTTCTCTTTGGTTGATGCTTTTTTCCCTTTCACAGTCATTTCCTAACTCTTTGTAGGTTGAACCGTCCTTTGTGACAAAGAAAAACAAGCAAAAAACCAGATGAGACAGAGATGCTCTCTAAAATGTACAAGATTATGTTCTAGTTGTCCCCACTTCTCTGCTTCAGGTAGGAAAGTATGCTGCATTATCTGTTCTCTGGAATCTTCACTGGCTTTTCAGTTATTCAGAGTTCAGTATCTTTTTAATGACTTGTTTTCATTTATATTGTTAATATAGTTATTATGAATATTGTTCTTTTGCTTCTGTTTATTTTTACTTTGAATTGTGTTGTACAAATTTGCCCTACTTTTTACAAATTCCTCATATTTGTCATTTTTACATAATAATAATAATAATAATAAATATTCCATTTCATTCATATACCCCTGCTTTACCTGCCACTTTACCCCTCAAAAAAAGAGTGGTCACTTTATTTCCAGGTTGTTGTTTTTTTTAATCACAAAGAATGCTGCTAGGAATATTTTGGCTTATACCAAAACTTCATTTTGTCTTTGACCAACCTGTGGAGGTATATGCCTCTATGATTTAAAAAAAAAGTGCAACAATTATATAGACCAGGTGGGAAAGTTAGTTTATTTCAGAGCATTTACACATAACAGTGAGCATAACTCATATTACAATTAGTTGATTTACATTTAAATTGTTTTTTGTAGATGTTTTGCACCAGACAAGTCAATAATAACAAACAAAAAACCCCAGCATATTTTAAATTTCATTAGATGTTAACATTACTGATGATCTCCTTAAAAATATAACTATTTAAAAATCCGAAATATCAGCAAAGACTTTCATTAATACCAAGTTTTTAAAAACCCTCAATTTCAATTAGTTTGCTTGTAGTATCTGGAATAAAGCTATAAAGATATCCAATTTGACTTCTGATCCATAAGATCAAATATGATTTTATGTACCTAATCCTAACAAAGAGAATTTCTCTGGCCTATACTTAGTGACAAATGAAAATTCAGCCAGCTGGTTTGGTAGATCCAATATTTCTCTATTAGGAATATGTAAGAAACAATAGTACCCTATGGTTCCATTTAACTAAGCTAGAACCATATTAAGATTTAATTATCAAGTTATATGGACATAAAAGTCAAATTTTCACTATGACAAATGTTTCTTTATGTTACAGATAGGCAAAACAAAGTAAACAGTAGTATTTTAAACAATGAAGTTTTTACTCTTTAAGGCCAAATGGTTTACATATGGAAAAAGAACTCCATTCCCATCACAGTCTGGAGTTCATCTGAGTCATCAACCTTTCCAACTTGATTGCTAGAGCCATATTACCTTTAATCTTCAACTTCCCTGATAAGAATGCCCTTGTTGGCTTTAGTTTTCCTAAAACAGGAAAAAACAAAAAAATTAAGTGGAAAAAATGCACATTATTTCACTTGCACATATACTTACTACAGCTATGATATTTGTTACTGAAATAATCTAGTAGAGTTCTATAACTTTCTCTTTAGAGGCAGGTGCAGAGATGTTAATCTTTTTATTAATGTTTTTTATAACATCACAGTGGGAAAATTCCCTACTCCTAGGACCGGAAGTTAACTAAGAATGATATAAAAGATAAAAGCTAAGTGGAAATAAAAACTAGAGGGGAAAAGATCTATTCTGCATTTAAATAATCAAAACCTGAACACTAAGTAAGCACATTTAAAGTCACTGAAATAAACGGTGATAAATAAGACATCACTTTTGTAGTTTATTTCAAAATATATGTCACATATTTTAGTTTTAAACTTTAAATGAGATCAAATGAAGGTACTATTAATAAAAAAAAAAGTAATGCTATTTTGAGGGAATCACTCTATATGGTCTGTGCATGATGCTATATTTTTAATCTATTTACCTACCCATCCATCCATCAATTTAACAAGCATTTAAAAATAAATACCTACTGTGAGCCAGACAATTTACTAGGTGGTAGGGATACAAGAACAAAATAGTTTTTATATTCAAAGGGCTTAGACACTTTTTTTGGGGGGGGGAAGGTTTGTTGGAGGGAAGAAAATTGCATTAACAGTAAATATAAAATATATAGATATAGACAGATACAAAGCAATTTCCAGGAGAAGGGCTCAGTGAATTATTAGGGGAACAGTGGTGGGCTTCCTTCTGGAATGCTGCTTGAGTTTAGAAAGAAGCCTGGAGTTGTATGGAGGAGAGATGAAGAAAAAGTGCATTCCAGGTCTGGGAGGCAGTGGTCTGGGCAAAAGGCATAAAGACAGCAGATGGGGTATTGTGAAAAGGGAATCTCAAGCAGATTACTTTGACTAGAATGGAGAGTATGTAAAGGAGAGCAATGTTCAGTAAACCTAAAAAGGAGTCAACCACAAGCTAGATTTTTGAAGGGCTATAAAAGCCACAAAGAGGAGTCTATATTTTATTCTATAGACAAGAGGAAGCCACTGGAGCTTTTTGAGCTGTGACATATTCCTATATGTAAAGAATACAAGCACTATATGAAGGGAATTACTGTTTAAATACCACCACCAAAATACCAACTATATTTCACAAATACAGACACAAAGATGTTCTTCTTCCATCTCAACTTCTATTGCAGATCTGGACACAAGAAACAAAATAGTAGCTAGCCATACTAAATTGTAATGTGCAAACTATCTAATTTGAACATAAAGAATGAAATTAGTAATGATTTTAACTACAATTATCAGAGACAAAGGAAACTGATGTACTAAACAACTGTAGTGTCAGATTTTTTTTCCCTGTACTAAGGTCAGGAGGACCTATTTTTGTTAATCAAAACTTCATCACTGAAATCTTACTTTTCTCAAAAGCTTACTTATATTAATGTTTTGGGTTTTGCAACTACATGTTAAGCACTATTTTTCATGTATCCTGCAAAACAATAAAAATTTTAAGGATCTGACTTAAGAAATACGATTAAGAAATATACTGAATTTGTAAATCAGAAGATTTATTATAAAAGGAATTTTGCCTTTTATATAAAGACTTACAGGATTCCTTTAAATCAGAGGTTCTTAATTTGAGGTCTGTTAACTTGTTTTTTAAAAAATATTTTGATAAGTGTATTTCAATATAATTGGTTTCATTTGTAATCATTTTATTTTACATATTTAAAAACATTCTTCTGAGAAAGGGTCTATAGGCTTCACCAGACTTGCTGAAGGGATCTATGGCCCCTCCCCCTGAAAAGGTTAAGAACACCTCTTTAAATAACATGTAGTACATTCAAATTTTGGATTAAAGAGCAGAGTTCAAGTACAGGCTCTCTCTCCTACTAAATATGGGACTGTGCGCAAGTTTAAAAAAAATGGAGGTAATTTTTACAGTACAATTCAGAGGGTTATTGTGAGGGAAATGCTTTGTAAACTGCAAAGTGCTAGATCAGGGGGTCATAACCTTTTCGGCAGTTGGACCCCATTCTCAGAATAATGCTTTTAAATCAATAAAATAGATAGGACTACAAAAGAAGGCAATTACATTGAAATACAGTTATCAAAATAATTTAAAAATAATTTCATAGATCCCAGGTTAAGAACCCCTATATGAGGTATTATTAACTATTTCACAGTGGACATAGAGGAACTAAAGCTAGGTGGTTCGTTGGATAGAGCAGTGGGTCTAGGGTCAGGAGGACCTGAGCTCAAATCCGGCCTCAGGTACTTTCTAGCTGAGTGACCCTTGGGCAAATCACTTAACTTCTGCTTGCTTTAATCAACTGGGGAAAGAAGTGGCAATCCACTCTGTAACTTTGTTAAGAAAACCCCATGGACAGTCTTAGGCATGCTATGATCCATGAGGTCATGAAGAGTCAGAGATGACTGAACAACAACAAATAGGGGAAATAGAGGTAAGAAGGCAATTTGGAAGACTATGCCTTTGCAATCAAAAATTAAACATCTACAGAAATAAAGATAATCTAACTCTAAAGTTATAACACATTTTCAATGGGAAAATGAATCAATGCATACATACTTGCTTTTAAGGAATATATCTAGTGTATAAAATAAGCTGATTTTAAAAATAATTCAATGTACTATAAGTATACAGTAATAATATTTACTGTATCTATCCAAATTTCTATTCAATTAAAAAGTTTAAGGTTGTCTCCAAAAGTAACATTTTATCTTAGATGTTTCTGCTAATTAAAAATTTACCAAAATTTGTCTTTAAAGGACTTTTTAAATAAAATAGCATTTATGAGGTCATCTTACTTTATCTTGCAATGCCCTCTATTGACCAAAAGAGGCAATTCTACCTGATTGGAGTATTTGGTCATTTTCATTACAGAACACTGATTAAATGCCTACCAAATTATTTACCAAGCAATTATCAGATGTCTACTATGTGCAAAGGCATTGTGCTAGGCAAAGAAGACAAACACGGTCCATGCCTTCAAGGAGCTTAATTTTTCCAGGGGAGGAAACAACCGATACATAGATGTCAATACAAAATAAATGTTAAGTAACCAGGATACAGAATGTAGTAATAGGTAATGTTTTCTTACCTCAAAATCAATCCTATAACCACATAAATAAAAGGAAGGAGAGATGTAAAGGGGGAGAAAGAGGGAATGGGAAAAAAGAGAAGGAATCTTAATTCTATGGCAAAATCCTTAATTTGGCTATAAACTGTGTTAATATTGTGCTGTATTCAATGGCCCTTGTCAGTCTAAGGGAGCACATTTATAAGAGATATAAAAATAAAAATGGGCCCCCCATTAAAAATTTATAAAAATGATCATATTTACAAGTAAGGGCACATACTAAAGGAGTGTCCTGATCTCTCTTGATTAGAAGTAGTCAAGAAATTTATATTTTCAATATCTACAAGTTACTTAAAAATGACATATTGATAAGATTTTAACTGACTTGCAAAAATTCATAATCAAGGGCATGTCAAAAAAAATCACAGAAATTTTACAACTTTAGGAAAATTAAAGCTTCTAAAAAGATAAGGAAAATCACATACATTGGACCAAATATGTTTATAGGTTATAGCTGAAAAAAGAATCCTTATCTGATCAAATCAGAAATTTGTAGCTTTTGTCTAAAACCAAAACATATAGAGAAGAGATATTATGTGACCTTTAAATTATAAAGATGCAAACAGAATAAAGCTAAAGTTTCTAGGTATAATAAGTAATATTATAGAATTTATCTACTCCTAAAACCAACCTTTCTCCTAACTTCTCTATTGCTGTCAAGAATACCACTCTCAGGGGCAGCTGGGTGGCGCAGTGGATACAGCACTGGCCTTGAAGTCAGGAGGACCTAAGTTCAAATCTGGCCTCAGACCAAACGCTTGTGTGTGACCCTGGGCAAGTCACTTAACCCCAATTGCCTTAAAAAAAAAAAGAATACCGCTCTCTAGTCACTCAGGTTCCAACATCGGGGTTATCCTTGACTTTTCATTCTCACTCACCTCTCATATTTAATCAGTTGCTAGGTCTTGTTCTCTACTACCCCCTCCCTAAAGATCTCTCACCACCATCTTTACCTCTCCATTTACATCATCACAACCACCTTAGTTCAAGTCGTTATTACCTTTTAATCCTAATTGGTTTCTTTGCCTCAAGTCTCTCCTTTCCTCTCTCCAATCCATCCTCCAAAAGCCTAGGTCATCTGACTATGCTGTTTCTCTGCCTCAGAAAGTTTCAGTGGCTCCCTATTGCCTCTAGAACAAATTTTATCGTCTCTCATGATCCAGCCAAAACTGGCCACATTTATTGTTCCTTGTAGACGACAATCCATTCCCTATCTCTGCATTTTTGCACAAGTGCTCTCCCTTCCTCATTTCCACCTCTTCGCATCCTTAGGTTCCTTCAAACCTCAGCTCAAATGTTACTTCCCACAAGAAGTCTTTCCTGACTCACTCAATTGAGAGTGATACCTCCGATTCTCAAAATTACTTTGAACTTATTTTGTATATATATTCTATTTAGTTATCTGTGTACATGTTTACTGATGGTAGAATTTAAGCTCCTTGAGGACAGGGGGTTTCACTTTTGTCCTCAGCACCTAGAGCTATTTGCTGAACTAAAATAAACGGAACTGGACCTGTCAATTATAGTATTATTTTAATTAGCGTCTGAAGTTGCCTGAGCTCTAATTGTGGAAGTCCTCCATACAACCTGGAGACTCTTGCTGTTACATAAACACATGGCTTTAGTGTACAGGACATAACTTACTTTTTCTGGTACACCTCTAAAATGGATCCTAGATTAAATCACCTCCTAAGGGACTTTTCTGTTGGTCCCAGATATAAATGGGTGGACTAGCAGAAGCAGCTCAGGAGTTTCAAAGAAAGACTGGAATTGTGGTGTTCTTTATCACGGAAGCAGCCATATCTGAATGTTCCCTCCAAAATTCCTATTTCTCCATAAACAGTCCTGGGCTTAAGCTCAACATTTTTGTTGATCACGTTGCTATTGAAAACAGATAATTTCCTTCTGGCTACCAGTAATGAATCAAGTGTAAGAATTCTTTTTAAGACTATAGGTCTTTGTCTCCAGTGCTCTGTTCCCCTGAATAACTGCTTGCTAGTAACACAAAAAAAAAAGTTGATTTCCAACTCACTCTTGTGTTACCCAGGTAGAGTTCAGTACTGTGAGGAAAATGGCTATGGCAGTGGCAGCAGTAAGTATAGGAACAGGGAAATGTAGGGATAATTTGGCAACTAATCTGCAATGTAAGGAGTTGCTCAAGATTCATGGAAACTCTAGATTTAAAAAGTTTGTATCTTTGATTACTAAGGAAGAGAGTAAGCATACACTTTAAAATAAGATTATATTCATACTAGCTTAAAACACACACACATATACACATATACAACACATGAGATGGACTTATTTGGGAACTCACCCAAAAACATTTTCACAAAATCACTAGTGGTCATGGTCAATACCACATCTACTGGTTCACTAGGCTGTCCAGACCCAGCACTCCCACCATTGTTTTTAAGATCAAGGTACCAAGTTCCACCATCTTCACCTATGTACGATATAAAGTCATAAAAATTGTCTTTATCAAACTTGACAATGGACTAAAAAGAGATACAGGAGTTTAATATTTTAGAATATAGCTGCACAAATTGACTTTTTATTAACACTACTTATCAACAACATAACATCCTATTTAGAAGACTAAAAGTTACTTCTTTTTCTGTCCCCCAAAACTGGCTTCTGCCTTATAATTCAGTAGTTTACTTTGTATTCCCCAATTCTTAGAGGCAAAAACCAAAACAACCTTGCCAGGAAATAGTTGGTTAAAGCAGTAAGTCTTCCTTTGAAAAATGAAGATATGTCAAGTGGGGTTTAAAAGTACCAGGCAATCCAACCATAACTAATTATCAAGGATATTACTAATGTTCTTGACTTTCTTCCACTTAAAATAGATGTTCAATAAATATTTGCTAAATTGAATTAAAAGCAAAAGTTAATAGAATTTATCCTTACCAGAGAGTTCAAATAGATAAATTGCCTGAGTAGCTTTCACAATATCTTCACTGAGAGCTGTCTTAAGAATTTTAAATGTTTCTTCAACTGCTCCAGCAGCTAATTTTGGTTGTTGTAGATACTGTTTCAAATCTTTTGCTGTTGGAGCTGCATCTGTTGGAAAGGTGGCATTTTTTGCACTTGAAAACTCAGCAACATAAGGCCAAACATTAAGCACTAGTTAAACAGATACCTATCAAACACTGTATAATATGATGCAAACCTAGGTTTACAATTTTACCAAAGCCTGTGACCTAAAGTGCATTACTTAGCCCATCTAATGGACACTAGAAGATTAATAAAATGATAACATCTAATAACTTTACATACCCCCAGATTGTTCCATTTGAAGACACCAGTCACTCAGAGAATGATTAGAAATAGTTCTGAGATGCTTTTGTTTAATAGGTTCCCTATGATATCACCACCACCTATCAACTGGAGGAAACAACAAAATGCTTAAATTCAGTTTAGTAATTCAACTCAACATTTACTAAGTGCCCAATTATGTTCTGGGAGATGCAAAGTTGAGATAAGATATAGCTCCCCCACCCACTCCCACCCCACACTGAGAGGCAGCAGGACATAGTGGATAGAGGGCTGGCCTTGGAGTCTGGAAGAACTAGGTTCAAGTCCTGCCTCTGATATACACTAGTTGTGTGACTTAACCTCTCAGTTGGCCCAAGGCAACTCTCTAAGACTAAAAAGTTACAGAAGAGTTACCCATCAGTATCAGTGGAGGGTTTCCATGCTGGGAGTTCCTTACAGTGATGCAATGAATCCCAGGTCTCGACCAAATAGAAAAATAAAATTTACCCACTGGCAGAAAAACAGACTTGGCCTTCCAAAACAAACAAGAGAGTAATACCTGCTTTTGCAAAGGGGGCTTCCTTTGACGTGTTGCAGGAGAAGGGAAAGGAGGAAGGAAAGCTCTAAAATCAACACAGTCTCGAATGTGTGAATACCGAATACTTCAGTGAATAATAATTACATTTATAGCTGATATTTACAAAGTGCTTTAAGGTTTATGAAGCACTTATACTATCTCATTTGATCCATACAACAATCCTGTGAGGTAACTGCTATGAAAATCCTCATTTTACAGATGAGGAAAGTGAGGCTCAGAGAAGTTAAGTCATAGGGTCACAGATTTAGAGCTGAAAGGGACCTTAATGAGCACCTAGTCCAACCCCCTCCATGTTACAGATGAGGACCTGGGGCCCAGAGAGGTCCAGTGCCTTGCCCAAGATCACAAAGTCGGCAAGTGTCTGAGGCAGGATTTGAACCCGGCAGGTCTTGCTGACTCCAAGTCCTGCTCTCTATCCACTGCACCACACTGCCTCTCAATTGTGTGAACACTGGATACCCTACAATTCTGATGGCAAAAGCACTCATTACCTGAACGTTTACCTGGAAACTGGTTACTTGAAAGAACTTTCTCCTTCTGAATACCAGATGTCCAAGTTCTAACTAGGGAAGAAATCAGGAAAAACTAGTATACTGGAAACTTGTTATAACTCTTCACTGGAGAGAACTTAGCAGGGGGGATGGGGTCCCTCTAGGATCTATTTAGGTTTCTTTTTAAAATAAGTTACAATTAAACCTCATTATCAGCATACTTTACCTAACCTGTCCCATGGTATTGACCCTGAGAACAGTGTTATAACAACGCTCCAACATACTCTGATGTTAACCAATTCTTCTCCAAAATAAAGCAACATTTAAAGAGTCAATAATAGAAAGAAAAACAAAAGCTAATTGTGATGCTATAAAGAGCACTGTGTTTGTACCTCCCTTATGTACTTATAATGTGCATTTTCTATTGTGGTTATTTTCATACCTGTCATATCCTCCTACTAGACTGCAAGCTCCAAGAGGCAGGGACCTTATCTTATCTCAACTTTGCATCTCTCCCAGAGCCTAGCACAGTGCTCAGCACACAGTAGGCATTTAATAAATGTTGAGTTGAATTGAACTGAATTTTCCAATAATTTTTTTAAATGGCTGCAAGGATAATATTAAGGGTCTCTGGCTTTTTTCTGTCTGCAGCCGGTAGGAGGAAAATAAAACCCTTCTTTGTCTGGGAGACTGGGGGTGGGATTTAAAGGATCCTAATTATTTATCCTATACTTTAACTTATCAAGAGCTTTCACAGCGAAGCAGGTATCACTTTTTGAGGGCAATTATTTTATTTTAGACTACATATATATGTGTGTGTGTACATATATGCATATATATATACATACATATGTATATATATATGTGTATATCTATATATCTATATATCTATATCTATAGAGATATAGATATATCTCTATATATATTCCTATCATTACAAACCTATAGAAAATAAAATCATCACCTTACCTTGTTTTTCCACTTCCTTGGTAACCATTTCAGGGTATTCATCCACAAAGAAATCTGGTAATAAAGGGTGGCCTAAAAAAGGTAATCCAAAAACAAATAGGTAAATAAATGAAAAGAATTCCACAAAAATTGACGATATTGATCTTATGTCCCATTCCTAGAGAGGTTTATTCTTGGCTAGTGGACATGACTAGAAAATACAATGATAAACTAATTCCCCAATAAGATGCTAATAACAAATATTGCTTAATGCATTATTTTTTCCTAGAAGTGCCCTGAATTTAGCACAGCCCAGCATAGATTAGGTGCTTAATAAATGCCTGTTGATTGACCAACCAATTGCTAAATAACTTAATAGAGAATGTCTCAATGACCACAAAGTCTTAAAATCCAATTGACTGAACACCTGAGCACCTGATATATAAGCCACAGTGCCTCCTATATCTATTATTTTATTTTCTTATTTTTATTAATTTATTTTGATTTATCAACAATCACTTCCACATGCTTTTGAGTTGAAAATTTTTCTCCCCCTTCCTCCCCACCACCCTCCCCAAGATGGCCCACAATCTGATACAGGCTACACATTTACATTCCTATTAAACATATTTTCACATTAGTGAAGTTGTAAGAAAAAATTAAAACCAATAGGAGGAACCATCAGAAAGAGGAAACAAAACTCAACAGAAGAGAAAAAAAATATAGCAATTCAACTTCCATAGTTTTTTGGATGCAGATAGCATTTTCCATCACGAGGCCTCTGGAGATGTCTTAGATCCTTGTATTGCTGAATAGGGTTAAGTTTATCAATATTAGTCATTGCATAAAGTGGTTGTTATTGTGTACAACGTTCTCTTGGTTCTGCTCACTTCACTGAGCATCAGACCATGCAAGTCTTTCCAGGTTTTTCTGAAATCAGCCTGTTCATCATTTCTTATAGCTCAATAGTATTCCATCACATTCATATACCACAACTTGCTCAGCCATTCCCCAATTGATGGGCATCCTCTCAATTTCCAATTCTTTGCTACCACAAAAGGAACTGCCATGAATATTTTTGTACATGTGGGTCCTTTCCCCATTTGTATGATTTCTTTGGGATATGGCCCTAGAAGTGCTATTGCTGAGTGCCTCCTATATCTAAAAGAGCTAAGGGGTAGAATTCTTAAACAAGGCATGAGAATGGGGGATACAGATTAAGGCAGAGAGGTCTTCACAGGGATATGCAAATCACATGAGGTAGCAGACCATCATTCTGACTGCCACAACAATCTTGTCCTTCCCCAACAATATAGTACATATGAAAGACATTTTCAGAAAGGTTTCACAGCCCTAAAAGGTTTGGAAAAAGCAGATTTTCCAATGTAAGATTACTAAACAAAGTCTCCATTTTAAAAATCTGAGACCAATGTAAAAAACTAGCCTTTATTTTTTATTTTGGATAATTTGAATTGTGATGTTTAGGTTGGAGAAGGGACAAATGAGGAGGGGCTTGATAGCTGTCTTCCAGTATTTGAAGGGATATTATGTGGAAGAATTGGATTTGTTCTATTTGGACCCAGAGGGTTGACCTGAGACAATACATGGAAGCTGCGAAGGAGCAAATTTAAACTTGTCAGAAATAAACCTTTCTAACAACCAGAGTCATTAAATAAATGAAATGGGCTATCTTGGAAGATGGTGGGTTCCTTTTCAATGGAGGTCTTCAAACAGAGGTTGGATAATTATTCTTTTGAGCATATGGTGGGCTAGATAATTACCAAGGCCTCTTCCAACTCTAAAATTCCAGGCTGATTCTAGTAATATAATCTGACTTTTAAAGGACTACAGATAGTATTCCCATCAACTTTTTAAAAAACATAAACTTTACCTGGTTTAACTGCATAGACATCAAAATTTTTAATTCCTTCTTCCTTTAATAGATTTTCATCGATAATAAAATTGCCAGTGAAACTTTTTGGTTTACTGAAGATGGAATATGCAGCATCGGCAACGATGTCAGCTTTTCTGCATTGGCTTTCAACACCAGCTCCTCCCATCATATCCATAGCAGCAGTATGTATGGCTGCAAGGCAGAAAAATAACACACAAAGCACACAAAATCAAGCCACACAAACAGAATGTAAGAGCTGGCCCATGCTCCCTCTCTGATTTGTAAATTCCAGTAAAAAAAAAAAAGACAAAATTGTGTAATACAGTGATGGTTGATGGTACATGTAATTTCATATTTTTGTATTTTACTATTTGCTAACATCAAGGAAGGATATATGCTTTAACTTTAATAATTTGGAGCCAGAATAGTAATAAACTATACTTCTTTGAAAACATTTTACAAATAAGACTTTGCACTACTTCAGATGTGGCCTTTCTCCATACTAAACACCCATCCTTCTTCCTTCTCACCTTCAGTATCTAATCCTGATCTCCATCCTAAATAAAACCCAAAGGGTTTTTTCAGTACCATTTTAAAAATTAACTTGAGATATTACCTAAAAGGGTTGATTGAAAAGGACACTTTAATATGTATGTTCAGAATTCCATTCTGAATATGAAAGATGGAGTAGAAGAGAACAGGACTGTCACTGAAAACAGAAGAGACTGCTCTCAAATTTTGCTTTTACAGTAATTATTCAATTAGTATTGTACAAGATACAAAAATAACAACTAACATTTATAATATGCTTTAAGGTTTGCAAATGCTATACATTGTGCTGAATCCTCACAACATCCCTGAAGGAGATGGTATAAGTACTATACCCATTTTTTTAAAAAAAATACTCATTTTTATAGAAAAGGAATTAAGGTTAGAAAGATTAAGGACATAAGGGTACTTTCTGCCAAGATGGCTGCCTGAACAGGAGGCAGGCAGGTCTCCCAGCTCACACAAACTTACTTCAGCAAAACTCTGAAGTTCACAACAGACTAAAAGTGATCAAGAAATACAATGATAAGCTATGGTGACACCTTCTATACCAGAATGACACAAAAGTCACCCAAAAGCAAAAGGAAAGAAAGGCTCCTCCAACACACAGAGTACTAGTGCAACCAGTGACAATGTATGCGTAGCTTGTGAGGTTTTGGTGTAGAAGGCAGCAAGAGTGGAAGTTTCTCCCAGGGAGGAGCAGTTGGCAAGTTGGCAATGTGATGCCTCAACACTTAGCTTGGGAAAATCCAGGCCCGGGGAATCTGAGGTCCCTAACACACTCTCCTGAGATGCTACAGAAGTTCTTTAAGTTCTAATACTTTGAACCTCAAAGAGGGAGGGAAGGAAGGCAACCTGGGGAAGTAGAGGTCAGAGGATCCAGGACAAGCTTAGCAAGACTGACCATCACATCCAAAAGCTCAGTGCAGGGGCAGAGCCCCAATTCAGTAACTAAAGCTGAAGAGATGAGTAAACCAAAGAAAAATAACCACTACCAAAATTACCGCAACTCTAACTGCAAAGGAACTGCAAGCAAAGACTCAGAGAAAAAAAAAAGGAATTTCCATAAGGACTGCATGAATACATAAATGGAATGAATGAAGAGATTAAAAAATGAAATAAAAATTCTCAAAGAATGAACCAGAAGAGGAATCAGTGGCTTAGAAGAGAAAGTGGTAAAACTTACCAAATAAATGGAATCCTTGAAGCCAGAATAAACCAAAAAGAAATCAATTAATTGATTCCATGAGAATTATTAAAACAAAAGCAAAAGATTGGAAAGAAAAAAAAAGAACAAAATGTAAGACATTTGATGTAAAAAACTGACCTAAAAAAACAGGACAAAGAGATAACTTAAGAATCTTTGAACTCCCTGAAAACCACATACATTTTTTAAAAGACCTGGATGCTCTATTTCAAGAAATCACAAATGAAAACTGCCCAGATCTACAACAACACTTCATTTTATTGCCATTTTATTGAGCTAGGCAGATATTGTGTTTTTTGCAAATTGAAAGATTATGGCAACCCTGAATCAAGCAAGTCTATTGGTGCTATTTTTCCAACAGCACGTGCTCACATCATGTCCTTGTGTCATATTTTGGTAATTCTTGCAATATTTAAAACTTTTTCCTTATTATCATATCTGTTATATCAATCTGTGATCAGTGATCTTTGATGTTACTATTCTAATTGTTTTGGGGCACCACAAATTGTGTCCATATAAGACAGCGAGCTTATAGAAAAATGCCATCTGTTCAGACTGCTCCACCGACGTGCTGTTCCCTTATCTTTCTCCCACTTCTCAGGCCTTTCTATTCCTTGAGACACAACAATGTTAAAGAATATTACATAAACTTAGCTGATAAAGCAGCAGCAGAGTTTGGGAGGACTGACTCCAATTTTGGAAGACGCTCTACTGTGGGTAAAATGCTATCAAACAGCATTGCAAGCTACAGAGAAATCTTTGGTGAAAGGAAGAGTCAATCAATGCAGAAAACTTCATTGTTGCTTATTTGAAGAAACAGCCACAGCTACTACAGCCTTCAGCAACTACCACCCTCATCCAGTAGCCATCAACATCAAGGCAAAAAGCCAACAAAAAGATAACATGATGGTTAGCATTTGTTTTTAGCAATAAAGTATTTTTAAATTAAGGTATATATTTTTAAAGACATAATACTATTGCACATTTAATATACTACAGTATAATGTAAACATAACGTTTATATGCACTGGGAAAGCAAAAAATTTGTGTGACCTGCTTTATTGTGATATTGTCTTTGTTGAGGTAGTCTGGAACTGAACCCTCAATATGTCTGAGGTGTGCCTGTATTAGAACCAAAATGAAGAGATAGAAGGAATCTACTGATAACCTCCCAAAAGGAAAAGTCCCAGAAATGTCAAAGCCAGAACATTCAAGTCAAACTAAAAACATTACATTCAGAAAGAAACAGTTCAAGTACCAATACTTAGTCAAGATCACACAAGATATGGTAACTTCTTCTAAAAACCAGAAAAGATCTTGGAATGTAATATTCTAAAAGGCAAAAGAGATATGTTAACAAGCAAGAATAACCATGCTAAGCTGAGTATAATCCTTCAGAGGAAAAAAGACCTTTATTGGAAAAGAGCATTTTCAAGTATTTCTGATAAACCAGAACTGAGTGAGAACTTTGACATATAAATACCAGAGGCAAGAAAAACCTAGGAAGGTAAATTTATCTGAGCCAACTAGAGGGAGCTATATGATGATATAGGCAGGAAAGAAACAAATGTCTCTTCAGAGCCTTATTTTCTTTAAAGGGTATTGATAGAGTTAGTAATAAGAGAGAAGTCCTGGGGTAGATTAGTTCTGTTCTAAGGGTTTTATGAAATGAAAAGAGAAGTGAAGGTGTAAAAGAAAGAAATAGACTAGTATAGAGAGAAGGAAGAAGGGGGTAAAATTTTCTATTTTTCATAACTGGAGTATTTGAGAGGAATATGGAAACATAGAGAAAGGGGTGAATGAACAGGCATCAGATGAATGTCACTTATTTGAAACTGATAAAGGGTAGTCACACACACACACACACACACACACACACACACGTACGCACAATCTGATGCAGAAATAAGCATGGGGAAAAGGGGTTAAGAGGGCATCTATACCAAACATTTAAAGACCAACTAATTCCAATATTAAATAAATTATTTAGAATAAGAGTCAAAGAAGTGGTCCTACCAAACTCCTTTTATAAGACAAATATGTTGTTGATACCTAAACCAGGAGGAGTAAAAATAGAGAAAGAAAATTATGGGGCAGCTAGGTGACACAGTGGACAGGGCACTGGCCCTGGAGTCAGGAGGACCTGAGTTCAAATCCTGCCTCAGACACTTGCTGTGTGACCTTAGGCAAGTCACTTAACCCCAACTGCCTCACCAAAAAAAAAAGAAAAAAAAAGAAAAAGAAAATCCAGCAGACTCAATTAAAAAGTTAGTTGAAGCAATTAATAATTTTAGCAAAGTAGCAGGATATAAAATAAACATACATAAATCATCAGCACTCCTATTTCACCAACAAAACCTTGTAAGAAGAGGTAGTAAGAAATACTCCATTTAATATAACTGTAGACATTACCTGGCATTACAGCACCAAAACAAACCCAGGAACTATATAAACAAAATTATAAAAAATTTTTATACAAATAAAATCAGATTTAAATAATTAGAGAAATATTAATAGTTCATGTGCAGGCAGGGCCAATATGATAAAAATGACAATTTTACCTAGACTAATCTATCTATTCAATGTCATCTCAATTAAATTGCCAAAAAATTATTTTATTGGGTTAGAAAAAACAATAACAAGATTCCTTTGGAAGAACAAAAGGTTAAGAATATCAAAGGAACTAATATAAAAAAACAAAAAGGGAGGTCGTTTAGCAGTACCAGATTTCAAACTATATTATAAGGCAGTAATTATCAAAACTATCTGGTACTAGAGCTAAGAGAAAGATCAGTGGAAAAGAGTAGACATACAATAAACAGCAGCAAATGATTATATTTATAAGTGTAAAAACTTAAGTTTTAGGGATATGAATTCATTATTTGGTAAAAATTGTTGGAAAAGCTGAAAAGCAGTCTGGCAGAAATTGGGCATAGAGGCAGCTAGGTGGCTCAGTGGATAGAGCACTGGCCCTGAAGTCAGGAGGACCTGAGTTCAAATCTGGCCTCACACCAAACATCTGACACTAGCTGTGTGACCCTGAGCAAGTCACTTAACCCCAATTATCTAAAAAAAAAAGAAAAAAAAGAAATTGGCCATAGACCATTTAAACCATTTACCAACATAATGTCAAAATGGATACGTGACCTAAATATCAAATATAAAGAAAATTAGAAGAACATGGAACATATTACCCATCAGACTGGTGGACAGGATAACAATTTATGAATAAATAACAGATAGAGAGCACTATGAGGTGTAGAATGGATAATTTCGATTACATTAAATTAAAAAGGTTTTGTACAAATAAAACCAATGTAGATCAGAAGGAAAGCAGAAAACTGGTAAAAAAAACTTTATAGATCGTTTTTCAGATAAATGTCTCATATTTAAAATATATAAAGAACTTTGTCAAATCTACATAAGAAAACAAGTCATTCCCTAATTGATAAATGTCAAAGCATATGAACAGGCAAGTTTTCTGATAGAGAAATCAAAACAATTTATAATCATATGAAAAAAATACTCTAAATCATTAATGATTAGAGAAATGCAAATTAAAACAACTTTGAGATATCATTTTACACCTATCAGATTGGTTAAAGAAGAGGAAAGCGACAAATGTTGGAAGGGATGTGGAAAAAGTGGCACACTAATTCATTGTTGGTGGAACGGCAAACTAATCCAACCATTTTGTAGAGCAAGCTAGAATTATGCCCAAAGCGTTATTAAACTGTCTGTACCCTTTGACCTAGGTCTGTTTTCCAAGATGATTAGAGAAAAAGGAAAAGAATCCGTATGTTCTAAAATATTTATAGCAGCTCTCTTTGTGGTGGCAAAGAACTGGAAATTGCAGGGATGCCCATCAATTGGGGAATGGCTAAACAAATTGTGGAATATAATCACGATGGAATATTACTGTGCTACAAGAAATGATGAGCTCATTGATTTTAGAAAACCATGGAAAGACTTGTATAAAATAATGAAGACTAAAAGGACCAGAACCAAAGAATGTTGTATACAGTAAAGCCATATTGTTTTAAGAACTCTGAGTACCCAAGTCATTTTAAGTATTACAAATACTCAAATCAACTACAAAGGACCTATGAAGGAAGATGGTACCTGTTACCAGAGAAAGAACTGATAAATAGATGGTTTTTTATACACACACACACACACACACACACACATTTGCTTCTAATAATAACTATCTCTAGGGTGGGGTAGGGAAGAAAGGAAAAAAATGTAAAAAGTACACAGTGGAAAATAAAAAAAATTTCATAGGAAGCAAAGAAAGCAGAGCAGCTTTAAAAATGATGTGTAGTACTCATACAGTTTTTCAAAAAAAGTAAACAGTGTGAAATGTAAATTCATGGCTCTATAGAAAATCTTCTTTATATGTCGTGCTAAGTACATGAAAATGGTCTTTTTTTTTTCTTTATGTATTTAAGTTCAAATTGAATTTTTAAAAAACAGGGAATATAATACCAGGGAAGGAACAGTCATAAATGAAACAAACTTTCTGATCCTGAAGACATTAAAATGGGAGGAGGGTGAGGAGAAAGAAAAGAACTGGAATCTAAGAATGGTACTTCAGATTGCCTTTTAAACTACTGGGGAATAGCTGAACAAATTGTGGTATGTGAATGTAATGGAATATTATCGAACTACAAGAAATTATGAAAAAGATCATTTCAGAAAATCCTAGGTAGTATAAGCAGAACCAGAAGAACAATTTATACAAGGACAACAATGTGGTAAAGAAAAACTATTTTGAAAGACTCAACTAAGAACTTTGACCAAAGTAAAGACCAACAATATCTCTAGCAATCCAATAATCTATCACATTACCCACCTCTTGACAGGGAAATGATTAATATGAGGTTCAAAGACATACACTTTTGGACATGGTCGCTGCATGGATTAATTTATTTTATTATAATTATTTGTTACAAAGGTTGATATTTTTCCTTTCTTTCTCATAGTAGGGGTTAGCAATAATGGTGGCAAAAAAAGGCCAATGTCACATTAAAAAATTTCTACAGAAAAGAAGGTAATCCATAAAATTTACTATAGTTCATTTTTAAAAAGCAATTAGTGTGAAATGGAAGATCACGGCTTCATAGAATCCTCTTTTTGTGGTTTACAATATATATAGAAATGTTTGCTTGTTTTTTAATTTTGTTTTTTAAATTCAGACTAAGAAAAAGAAATGCAGAAGATGACTGCAATAAAAGTACATTAAAACCAAAAATCTTTTTAAACCAAAATATTTGAAGTTCACTAATTCATCATCACCCCTTAATAAAGTACAGCAAAATTATCCTATAAATGCTTTATTATATTCTGTCTTGACGGAGATTTCTTAAAATGGCTCCAAAAAAGAAAGGTATTGTCAAGTTAAAATTTTTTAAATGTTATTTGGAAAAGACACATTTCACAAAGAAGACACTTGTATGTAACCAAGATCAAATAAGGAGCTGTGAGAGAAGCAGCCTTCAACAAAAGATTCTGCAGCATAGCTAAGCAAACAAGTTAAACTAGTTACAGAATTAGTTCTCAAAAGCACACATCAACAACTGTGTGCTTACTGATGATTTGTGGAGTAGAAAATAAGAATTTGTGATAAAACTAATGAACTTTAGCGGTCATCAACTTAAAACTTGAGACTTTTTAAAGAATAACTAGAGAAATGAGTTCAGATAGCTCTTTGGTCATCTCTGTTACAGCTTACAGATCTGGACTCAATATGTCCTTTGTCAATCTAAAGGAAGGCTTGACTTTATTTCTGTGGATAAATCACAACAGTGAATCAATGAAGTAGGTGCCAATAGGAACAAATAAAAAAATTCAGTCTTAAAAAATGATAACATTTTAGCCTGAGTCATACAACCTTTGCAGTCCTTGCTTACAGGTTGTTATACATCCTACTGGATCTCCTCTTGGGGCACCATGTGGTGATCCTTTAGGGGACATTCAAGGCCTAAAGAAATATAGTCTCAAAGATCTTAAATTGGTTTAGTCTTCATACTTTCAGAACTCTCAGAGCCCCTAATGTGGTTCCTATTTCCTAAACTCACTTTTGTGGATACTTGCTCACATCTTCAGATCTAAGGCAGGCAACTCTTTCAACAACGACTATATAGTATGCTCTCTCCTGCTACTGGGACATGGGAGTAATGAAAGTATCAAAGTGCCCCTCATTAGTTCTAGTTAAGGAAAAACTGGGTTCTATTAATTGTGCAGTTTCATTTGTATTTTGCTGCTAAATTTCATACTCTGGAAGCATGCCTAGATTGACTACTACTGATAGAGGATGGAGAAGACCAAAGTCCTTACTTCACTTGCAAATGAATCTTTTGTTAAAGCTCTTTCACCATATAGCTTTTGGACTTTACCTCAGTTCTTAAAATCTTCAGACTAGACCATTAGAAAATTTTCTGATTTAAGATATATGTTAGGGAAACAGTTGAGTCTTCCACTTAGATAGAAATTAAGAATGTAAGACAGAATAGTAATGGAGACAAGTACTTTCTGTATATCTACCGCCTTATGCAAATAATTTCCTTGATCCCTCCCCCAAAAATGAATCCCAGCAAACCCTGATAATGATTAATTATAATGTTGCTTCATGAGTCCTGCTATATCTCTCTGAGGGCAAGGACTGTATGTTCCATGCTACGTATTGTGCTAGAGACTGGGGACATAGATGAAAAGGGAATAAAACATATTCAAAGATAAGTAAATACAATATATATGCAAAATAAATACATAGTAATTTCAGGGCATGTGTAGAGGGACACTAACAACCGGGAAAATTATTAAAGGTCTCTTATAGGAACAGGCTTTTGAACTAAGCCTTACAGCTGGGGGTTCTAAGAGGTTGAGGTAAAGGAGAGCATTCCTGGCATGGAGGACAAGGCATGGAGACAGACAGGAAGTGGAATGTTTGTACAAGGAAGAGCAAGCAAACCAATATGGTTAGAGCAGAGAGAGGATGAAAAACAGTAATATGTAAAAAAGATGCAAAGAGGCTCCAGTGACTGGGAAGGGTTTTAAATTCCAAATAACAGTTTTATATTTTAAATTATAGGCAATAAGGAGCCACCAAAATATCCTGAAGGAGAAAGTAACATGGCCATATGTGTGCTTTAAAAATATCATTTTGGCAGCTGCATGGAAGATGGAGTGGAGGGGGGAAAATGAGGCTCAGGAAGACCCAAAAGATGGTTACCATAAGATTCCAGGTAAGAAGCGATCACAAGAGTTGAACCAGGGTAATTGCTGAATGAGTGGAGAGATGGAGGATGGGATATAAGAGATGTTGTAGAGGTAAAATCAAAAAGACTTGGCAACTGATTAGATATGACGGTGAGAATGAAGAGCTGAGAATGACCCTGAGGCTGTGAACCTTTGTGTTAATCGGAAGATGTTGGTGGCTTTGACAAAAAGAGAAATTACAAGCAAGGGAGGAAGGCTGCATGGTGTAGCAGAAAGAACATTGGATCCAGGTCAGAAGACCTGGAATCAGATCCTAGTTTTTGCCACCTTATCACTTCTGTGGTCAATTCAATTGGGCAATTCAATTTCCCCCATGAGCCTCACTTTCCTCATCTGTAAACATGAAGAAGTTCTAACATATGACCTCTAAGGCCTCTTCTAGATCTCAGTCTATAATTGTATAAATTCAAGTGTTTAGGAGAAAACATAATGGGTTAAATTTTGGATATGCTGAGTTTGAGATGTTGATGGGGAAAGTCACATAGAAATAAATGTTCAGCACGTAGCTGGAGATGTGCAATTAGAGGTCAGGAGAGAGTTGAGGGCTGGATATGTAGATTTGGGAGTCATCTGCATAGAGGTAATAAACTCAAGCTGAAGAGATCAATGAAAGAGAATACAGAGACAGAGGAGCACACAAGACAGAGCTCTAGGGTACACTGACACTTAGGTTGGCAAGACATACATGAAGATCCTACAGAAAAAGACCTGGAAGAATCAGGTGTGCAGAGAGGTAGAAAAATCAGGAGAAAGCAGTGTCACATAAACCCAAAGAGGAGAAAGTCTCAATGCAGCGGTAAGTGATATGGAAATACATTTCAAAGTCAAGGATAGGAGAAGATCACTCCAAAACAAAAAGGAAAAAAAAACTACTCCAAAACAAATATTACCCTCTAGAAAAAAGAAAAAGATGTACGCGATCTACTCCACAAAATGTGGTAGATCCAAAAGTTAAGACAATTTTCATTTGCTAACAGGTGAACCAACCTTCTACCCCACAACAAAGTACGTATTGAGAATAGAAATGTCTTGACCAAAAATGGATTTTTTTTAAAAAAATTGAACACACCTGTTTTAGGCCACAAAGCATTGACAGCAATTTCTCCTTTAAATTCTTCTGCCATTCCAAGTACACACATAGACATGCCATATTTAGCAATAGTATAAGCTGAAAAAGAGCAAAAACAAATCTTAAGAGAGCAAAAATAAATCTTAAGACAATCAATCCAGAGTTATACAATCAATTTCCTTCTACTGGTCCTTTTCTAAGACACATCTATCTGCTTAGGCTTCTGAAGAATATAAATAGTACAAAATAAGAGTTGGAAGTAAAAATAGTCTAACACTTTTTTCAGAAGGCTTTGAACTAGTTCATATTTATTACTAATTGAATTGAAACATTCTAAAGAATAATTTAAAATGGATTGTTAAAAAATGTGGTTTTTCTCATCCTTTGCTATAAAAGCTACATTAATGACCACATATTTCTATTTTTATTTATTTAGTCCATATCTTCAATGTAAAAAAATAGTAAAAGTCCCACCAATGCAGACTGGCAAATGCTCTGCAATGTCTAGTCTTAGAGTGCTGCTTGGAGGCACTGAGGGGTTAAGGGACTTGTCCAGAATCACACTGCCAGCATGTGTCAGAGACAGTACTTGAACTCAAGTCCTTCTGACTCGGACACCAGGTCTCTATTTATGCTGCCTCTTGACTATAAAATTTCAAATAAAGAAATTAAGATAGCTCATTTTAGGGAAAATTGTGACTAAGAAAATAGTTTCTAAGCTGTTTATTCCAATTAATCTATGATCTAAATTGTCTCAACCTTTATAGCTCTATATTCATACCCCAATAGAAATATACCATGATAATACTATTATGCTATAAGAAATGATGAGCAGGTTGCTGTCAGAAAAACCTGGAAAAACTTACATGAACTGATGCAAAGTAAGCAGAACCAGGAGAACACTGTACACAATAGCAGCAATAATATATGATGATCAACTGTGACTGTCTCAGCTATACAAAGCTAGTCTCAGCAATACAAACATCCAAGACAATTGTGAAAGACCTATGATGAAAAATTCTACCCACCTCCAGAGAAATGATGGAATCTGAATGCAGATTAAAGTATTTTTTTACTTCTGTTATTGTTCTTGGTTTTCGTTTTTTGTCTATTTTCTTTCACAACATGACTAATATGGAAATATGATTTGCATGACAGCAGGTATATGACTTATCAAATTGCTTTCCTTCTCAATGAGGAGGGAGTGAATAGTGGGTGGGAAATAATTGGGAAATCAAAATTGTAAAAAACAAAGGTAATTGGGAAAAAATATGATATTAAAAATTTTTTAAAAGAAATGTACCATGCTAATTATTACTAATGTAAGTTGAAATGAAATAAGCATCACGAGGATTTCTATGCCAAGCATGGTGGTGCTACCACAGTAATTAGTTATTCTTATGTGAAATCATTAATATGTTGTGTCAAAGGTACAGATTTCAAAGAATGAGTTTAAAAGGCAGAGAAGTAAGAGGAGAAGAGGTAAGAAGGATATTAATGCAACAGAGTAAAGGAAGAAGAAAATTTCCCCTTATTCATACTAAGGCCAACACTTTTTAAAAGGTTATCATTTTTATTTCAAGGCTCGATTCTGTCACCTTCATATAAAGGAAAATATTCATAACAAAGGATTAAAAGATTACTAGTTTAGCCACTCTAGTTAATAAAATTGAAAATTTTTCTTTTGGATAGGTTGAGAATGTTTAGCCACCTCAATGAAAGAACAGTTTATCTTTTCTAACTTAGTGGGATGAACAAGAGTACCCTGGCAGTTTGGCTAAGAATTAGAGATAAAAATTATCAGTTTTTCTTCTCTGAACCTTAGATAGGGATGAAGCTCCCCTCAAGAGTGTAACCAATGTGTGTCTCTTGATTTCACATCATCTCTTTTGAGAAGTATAGTTTCCTTTCCTGTCTCAATCAACCTAACATTTATTAAGCACTTGCTATGCGCCAGGCACTAGATATACAAAGACAAAAGTGAAATTGTCCCTTCCCTCAAGGAACTTACATTCCATTGTAGGAGAGAAGCTATATATAACTAGAATATAAAAAACACATGTGAAGCAGATAACTCTAGAATGGAAAGCACTAGAAGGTAGGATGTACACAGAAAGACTTCGTAAGCATTCCAGGAATGGGAAGAGCCACATCTATAATTATCAAGTTTTAAGTGCCCTTTTCCTCCTGAGGTTTGCTTTTAAGAGTTACAAGTAAGGGACAATTCTTTTTTTGCTTTTGTTTTGTTTTGGTTTTTTTGCTTTTTGGTGAGGCAATCAGGGTTAAGTGACTTGCCTAGGGCCACACAGCTAGTGTGTGTTACATGTCTGAGGCCGCATTTGAACTCAGGTCCTCCTGACTCTAGGGCTGGTGCTCTATCCTGCGTGACAATTCTTCTTAATGAAGATATAACTTCCCAAACCAACATCTATTCTACAGATAAAAATAATTCAATCTGAAGTATTAATACATAGTTTACTTTAGGTTCATTAATACCATTCAAAAGCTTAATAAGTTAACCAACAGAGGGGCAGCAGGTGGCGCAGTGGACAGAGCACTAGCTCTGGAGTCAGGAGGACCCGAGTTCAAATCCAACCTCAGACCAAACACTTGACACTAGCTGCGTGACCCTGGGCAATTCACTTAACCCCAATTGCCTAAAAAAAAAAATTAGCCAACAGAAACAACTAGGCTTATTTTCTCTAATACTTACCACAGTGTTGTTTGAACCAGATTGGATTCAGGTTTAGTGGTGGGCTGAGGTTTAGGATGTGAGCAATTTTACTCTTTTTCAAATAAGGAATACATGCTTTTGATCTGCAAACAAAAGTAAAAAAATAAAGTTAGTAGTCTTTCAACCACTTGTCTATGTATATCATGATATTTTTGCTTAGGTTATATTTTAAGATTAACAGGAGAATCCAAGACAATTACAAAAGACTCATGATGGAAAATGCTACATACATCCAAAGAACCGATGGAGTCTGAATGCAGATCAAAGCATATTATTTTCACTTTTTTTTGGTAGTTTTTTCCTTTTGTTCTGTTTCTTCTTTCACAACATGACTAACACAGAAATATGTTTTACATGAAAGCACACATATAACATATCAAATTGTCTGCCACCTTAGGGAGGAAAGAGGGGAAGGAAAAAGGAGGAAGAGAAGGAGAAAATTTGGAACTCAAAATTTTATTTAAAAACTGAGTTTAAAAAAGCAAAAACAACAACAACAACAAAAAAGAGGGGCAGGTAGGTGGCAGTAGTGGATAGAGCTTTGGCCTTGGAGTCAGGAGGACCTGAGTTCAAATCCAGCCTCAGATACTTGGCACTTACTAGCTGTGTGACCCTGGGCAAGTCACTTAACCCCAATTGCCACACACACACACACACACACACACACACACACACACACACAAGTAAAAACAAAAAATGAATGTTAATAATTGTCTTTACATGTAATTGGAAAAAATAAAATACTATTTAAAAGAAAAAAAGATAACAGTAAATATATTCAGAACTGGACTACCCTAAAGAGACATTAGGTCACCGGTCAGTGGGGGTAAACTAGTGTTTATATATTTCTAGGGCAGAGGTAGAAGTAGGAATTTCTTACCAGCTACACTGCCCAGCAACATGGCCTACCCTTGTGCAGGAAATCTAATATTGGGTTACTCTTTTCAAACTTAATCACATCACTGATTTTAAACTCCTTAAAAAACTACAAATCTGAAGTTTGTTGCTTTTAAGAAAAACCAAAATAATCTTTTTTACTCCTTGAATATTTTCACACATATCAAAAACTTAATTCTCCTACAGTTTTATGTATCATTCAAGGGGAAGAGATTCACAGCACAAATATTTATTATTCAGGACAGCGGAAAAATTCTTGGAACAACATAATCATCATTACTAACAGCTTACATTTATATAGCATTTTATAGTTACAAAGAGCTTTCACAGATTACCTTGTTTGATTTTCACACTATTTTCATACTGCTACCAGGACTGAAGTAATACAAATATTGTCAACACTGTTTTAATGATGAGGGAACACAACCTGTGACTTACCCTAGATCACATCTAGAAAGCAGTCAAATACAACAATATAACAGCACCTGGAATATGGTCCTGCAATAGAAGCTCCATGATGTGATGCAGTGAGCCACAGATTTGGGTTCTGGTCATGGTTCTAGCACTAACTAGCCACATGGCTTAAGACAAATCATGTAAGTTTCCTCATGTCCCCCCCTCTTCCCCTTTCCCAGCCATCTGAGATGAATGGACTAGATCATTTGTAAAATCTTTTCCAGTTTATGATTCTATAAGGTTACAAGGTGAATATGGTTTCCTATATACTACACATGGCTTCAACAAAAATACGTTATGCAACGGAAAGAGTATCAGATATGGAGTCAGAAGTCCTGGGTTTGAATTTTTGACTTTGCTACTTATCTGTGACCCTGGATAAACCATTTTTCTTCTCTGCCTCAGTTACCTCATCCATCAAATGAATAGATATGGATTAGACAATATATGATCCTACAAAATATTTTAAGAGAAAATATTTGATAACATGTTCCATAACGCTATGTTCAGTCTCCTATTTTTTTTTCTTCAGGAGTTTTTACTGGAATATAACAAGCCTTACCTGAACTAGTACTAGGGAGCAATCTGTCTATTGTACGGTAAAATTTTAAATTATTTATTTTTTACAAGCATTTATTGTCTCTCTCCCCATGTGCCTCTCAACTGAAGGGTAAAAAAATGAAAAAGAAAACATTCATAACAAATAAATATTGTCAAGCAAAACAAATTCCTACATTGGCCATGTCCAAAAATATACGTCTCCTCCTACATTTCAAATTATAGTGAATTTTTTCATCTCAGTGTGTAGTAATCATACAACACTAGAGCTACAATTTACAAAATAATATACCACTGCACTGAAAGAGTTAATTCACTACCTAGGGAAAGACAACTTATTCATGCTATGATAGAATTTGGTTCAATTTTTAAAAATCAAGCCATGTTAAACCTCTCTCACATTGGTTCTTATATTTTACAATTTTTCCAAGCCTCTGATCTAGACCACTTCTATTTTCAAATGAGCATCTGTTCCTTTTTCCTAAAAGCATAAAATCCTTAGTCAGTTAGCTATTATTTTTTTAAACTATCAAGACTTAAACTTGCTATTGCAAGCACAAGCTTTTTGTGCATAATATGTATGATTTTCAAGTATGCTTTAGTTGCACTGGGGAGAAAGCAATCATGGCCACTTTTTAATTTAAAGAGAGAAAGTGAACTTCAAAACATCATCTGGTGGGGAAAAAAACCCAACCTAGGCTGCATAATCATATTTTCATGTTCATAAAAAGAAGAACTCATTTGATTTACAACACAAAAACAGGCTTTCTTTTGATTTGTCAAACTATACATCCCTCACTCCCATCTTCACTAGACCAGGTACACTTTTCACAACTACATTCTCTTTTATAGAATAATAAGCATTATTCTTTATACTAATGCTACTTTTAACTTACATATAGAAAAATAGAATCCATGCTGCTCTGTAATAAGATTTGCATTAAAAAATGACAGGAAGTGCCTGTTCTGGGGAGGGGAAAGCACACATTTAAAAATCTAAATACCAGGGACTCAAGTGAAGGATAACAAATCAACTTTTGGAATAATAAAAATATAAATCAGGTAAAAATGGAGGACTTTATATATTCCCCTCCATATTCAAGATATATACCACATACAGACTTTTTATCTCTGAGGATCTAAGTAATACTGTTTCTGGAGTTAAAAGTTGAGAAGAGATTCCCTCTCTCTTCGTTTTCTCCTTCTCAGAGATTGAACTCCCAAGCCAACTCACAGTGCAACTGCCAAACTTGCACAAGGCATATTTTAAAGCTAGTGTAAGGATGTGATTCCTTTGCAGCAGAGAAGCCAGATGTACAGAATGGCAAAAACTGATGCACCCTTTAGAAGGGCTAGACATCTATAATGTGCACCAAGGCAGGTGTACAATCCCCTGTCCCTGCAGCTACAAACCAAAGGGCTGTTCTCCCAGACAGGTAAAGAAAGGGAAGATGTGTACCTTTTCCTAACATGGAATCCCATGGAGAAGATATCATCCGGATTCAATAATATTGCCAGGGTGACTCCCATTTAAATAAGTATGGATAATTTTAATTTAAATTTATTATAGTAAACCTCAAATCTAAAAGATAGTGAATAATCTATTGGTCTTTCCTAGCCATTTTAAAGAAGCAGTGTGGCATAGCTGAAAAAGCATTTAGCATCAAAATTGATGGACTGTTTGCTTCTCTTCTGCCACTTACTAACTATATAATCTGGGCATGTCATTTCACTTTTCTGGATCCCAGTTATCATGGAAAGCACGAACTTAAGGAAAATAAAAACCAACTTGTTAGACTAAAGCAAAAGGTACTGTTAATTCATCATACCACTGCCATGGGCTACTACTGTCAACATGCAATTAAATAGTCCAAGAGCACTCTCTAAACTGGTACCCAAGCAGGATTTCCTCAATATTGGAGAGCAGTGAGACACAATAGCTGGAATAGGAAGTGATTGCTCCCAGTAATTTAATTTCCTTTTAGAGAAAGAATTGTCCCCCCTTCCTTCATATGGAGGTGGGAGACTGTTAAGTATGTAATATAGCATATATACTTAGGCATAGTGGATGTGTTGGTTAGCTTTCCCCTCTTCCTTTTGCATTCTTTATAACAAGCAATGGCTTGCTCATCAGGAAAAGGGGGTAGAAGTAGACCAAAAAATAAAGGGGATGGAAGAAACAAAGGATAACAGTAGAAGTTAAGGAATTTTTTTTTAAATAAAGAATTAGTGATGTGGTATTCTCCCAATACTGAGTAATTTTCTCAGCCAAAGATTAAGGAGGAATCCACACTGACATCTCTGTACTGTTGTGCTGTCAAAGATAAGTAATTTCATATTTTTAAAATTTTTCTCTCCAAAAATATTAAGAGAACAATAAATAAATTTCACTAAGATGGACCAAGTAGCCTATGATCCCATATTTTGGATTCAAGTAGATGAGCCAAAGCTGGTGAAAGCATGGTGCTAATGATGTGAGAGTTTTTCATACAGACAAAAAAAATTAGCTTCTCCCCAGTGACCCAATGCAGTCTGTACTGCACACACAGTAATTCCAAGTATCAAGTATCAGGTAAAATTAAAATTTGAACTCATACATGGAATGCTATGTTAAGTGATATCACCACTACAAGAAACAGTTTAAATACACACACACACACACACACACACACACACACACACATACATACATACTACATTAATTCAATGTTGTAATTGTGAATTAGTCCAGCCACTCTGAAAAGGCATTTGGAAATAAGTCTCCAAAGTTAATAAACTGCGCAAGCCCTCTGACCCAGCAATAACACTACCTAAATAACTTCTACCTAAATCAAGATGTATCTTCAGAGTCTTTGAAACAACCCAAGGTCCTATTGTAAGTCAATAACTGCTCTCTAAAAGTATACACACAAGATAAAGAACCTTTGCTGACAGACTGCAGTTAACTGAACTTAGGCCTCTTCCTAACTGGGTTCAAAATTTTTACTGCAACCACAAAACTGAAACTGTTAAAAAATGACTGAAATTCTGAGGTAACAGATGAACTAGATGGAGTTCAATGAATCAATGTGTCAAGCTGATTTCTTTACCAGTGTTTCAGTTTCTTTCTGGACCAGATTCCTGGCAATGCCACATGCTAAGCTAAGCATGTAAGTGTAAAACAAAGTTTCCAGTGTGAAGGCTTTGGATTGTAACAGCCTCATCCCAGGAACTGAAGCCAAATTTACCACAATGTAGCTAACAGGAGTATCATATTAGGAGTGTTATGACATGGAAGGGGTCAAAGTAGAAGTCATGTGTCAAACTAAAAGAAGGGAATATTATTATACTATTTATAGATGAAGTACATCAGTGACATGGTGAAGACAAATACTACCAATGTCAATAGCTGAGTAGACTGGCATGAAGCCATCTTCTCACAGAAGGCATAGAGTTCAATTTCAACAAAATACATACGTTGATCACAAGGCCAATATGCAAGACGTCCTATGAACAAGCTTCGGGTATAATTTTCATGTTAAAAGATTTTGTTAATATGTTAGTGTGGTCAGTCCTATCATGCAAATACTACTACTCTATACATATAAATACCATCAGCAGAGTCACTTTCAAAATAGAAAAGATAATGAATAATACGTACAATTAAGTCAATACTGTGTGCTAACAAAGCAGTGGCTTGGTGAATTTAACTAATTAAAAATTCTCAAATTATTTATATTTGGGTTTGGAATGCATTTCCTTCCTAGTCAGGTTTTGCTTTGGCTATCTGCATTCCCTAAGCATGTGTTGTTCAATTAGTGGCAGGTAAAATGGCCAAAATTGCAATAGCAATCAGACTAAGATTGAAAGTTTGATACTAATAATCCCCCAAATCATCCATGTATATAGATTGATCTAAAGCTAACTATAACTAGAAATTTTATGAAGCCCAGGGACCTTTGATATACTGATGGAAAATTTCCTTTGGAGAAAGAGAACACAGCCCACCTCATCAGATCTATGGAAGAAACTTCTACCATTCATTTTCAGCACATTATTTAAGCTTTCATTAGATATGACAGGTGACAGAAATTATTAGATTCGACACAGTACTATTAATCAGGTTAAAAACTGTAATTAAAACATTTCCTCTAAGAAAACACCAGGAGATTTTTACCACCTTCTCCTCTCCCCACTTACGCAAGATAGGTTCCTCTGGTGTTGACACTCATCATCAAATCCACTCTCTTTGTTGGTGTTTCCAGTGTGTTGGTTAAGCTGATCGCACTAGCATTGTTTACCAAAATGTCAATTCCTATTTTTAAAATAAAATACCTAATTTTAATGCTTTAAACTTCCTCTGAGAATAAGATGAAATCTTACTACTAAATCTACTCCTAGTTTGACCCCTAGTCACATGGGTTCAAGTTAACATGAGCACACATATGTGACCACTGCTCTAACTTACACAGGACACTCCATATTGACATAGTAAGGTAAATAATCTAATGTCTAATAACTGACCTAAAGCTATACTGAAATGATTTTCAGTGGAACAGAACCACAAAAGTCCTAGGTAGGCTTACTTTTTCTTTGACTTACTCTTACGTCTTGGGCCTCCTCCTCTTTCCCACTCATCCCCAAACACACTTCCAAATTTATAGTATCTTCATGCTGCTTTCTTGGTATCCAAAAATCCCCACAGTGGTACCCAGTACAGGCACCCATCCTCTGCCCAAAGGTATAATGCTGCCCTCCCTCTTGGGTTACTAATTCTAAATGGAGGGCTTACTTCCTAGCTGATGTTATAGGCTGGAATGTTGACACTTTTTTTCACTTTTGGGTCTCATTCTGAAAGGAGATATCTGCTTCCCTGCAGAGGACAAAACTATACCATGAAGACTGGTACACAGGTCCAACCACAGATAAAATTATGAAGTACACTGAGACATGGCAACCTTCTACCTCTCATTTTGTACCCCTCTCTAATCATGTCCCCTTTAATTTGGAGAAGAGGTTTTAAATGAGACTATTAATTCTGTTAATTCTCTTTATTTTCTTTTCTTTATCCTCATTTTTTTTTAGGCAATTGGGGTTAAGTGACATGCCCAGGGTCACACTACTAGTGTGTCAAGTGTTTGGTCTGAGGCCAGATTTGGACTCAGGTCCTCCTGACTTCAGGGCTGGTGCTCTATCCACTGCACCACCTAGCTGCCCCCAATTTTCTTTATTCTCTAAAGGCTTAATGGCCCCAGGTACATATTTTAAAGTTACAAAGTTCTTTGTAAATATGCTTCCCATATAAACAGGATTTGAGTGTGTCAATCTTTTTTTTTCTCCTTTTGGTAAGGCAATCAGGGTTAAGTGACTTGCCCAGGGTCACATAACTAGTAAGTGTCAAATGTCTGAGGCTGGATTTAAACTCAGGTCCTCCTCACTCCAAGGCTGGAGCCCTATCCACTGTGCCACCTAGCTGCCCCAAGTATGTTAATCTTTATTGTTTCTAGAGAACCCAATTTAATTTTCAAATGGAGAATTTTTATTTTTGGTCAGTAGTATAATTAGGAATCTTCTGTCTTGGACTAGTTCCTGAAACTTTAGTTCCAGTTCCCTTGGCATTCCCACTAATAATTTATGGAAAGGGCACTGAAGCAATTGCTTAAATGGGCAGCATAGAACCTGTGGGAGAAGTCTCAGATTTGGGGCATGCTTTATATTTGCCTCCTTGTCATCACTGCTTCTACCAAATAACTACTCAGTACCTAGTTTGTCCAAGGCCTTGTGGGTGAGCAAAAAAAAAAAGAGAGTATAAGACATGGTTCCCTACCTTCTAGGATCTTATAATATAGCTGGGAGATAAAGACAGAAACACATTAAAAAAAACTCTAAATATAATGCAGCACAAAATAAGATCCAAGTCAGTGCTTTAGGAATTTGAAATGGTATAGCAAAAATGGTGTATTTGTTTTATGTTTTGGGTTGGGGTAGCTAGGTGGGACAGTGCAGAGTGCCAGGTCTGGAATAAGGAAGACTCATCTTTAAATCTGGCCTCAGACACTTACTGTCTATGTGATTGTGGGCAACTCACTTAACTCTGTTTGCCTCAGTTTCCTCCTCTATAAAATGAACTGGAGAAAGAAATGGTAAACTACTTGGTATCTTTGCCAAAAAAAACCCAAAATAGGGTTATGAAGAATTGGACACGTCTAAAATGACTAAACAACAATAACAAAAGCAGAAATGGTGTTAGATTTAAGAGTCAGAATCTTTCACTGGACAAGTTAATCACTTTGTAACTAAATTTCCTCATGTATGAATATATGTATGTATAATGTATGAATAATAATACTTCTACAACTATATTTCAGGCATCCCTGTGAAGAAAGCTTTCTATAAATTGCTATTATTATTAAGAAAGCTCTCTACAAACATTAGTAATTATTATTGTAAATAAAGCTCTGTATAAATATAAGTTATTATTATTATTATTTAGAATTGTGAAGGTGAAAACCAATTCTTTCAGTGATGATCAGAGAAGGGGTGAGATTTAAGCCTTGAAGAACAGATAAGATTTCAATACATAGAGAAGAAAGAAAGGTAGGCATTTCAGGCAGGCAGAAAGGCAATGAGGTAAGAAAGGAGAGAGTATGTGTTCAGGGACTAGGGAGGAAACCACTTTCAAAAAGCAGAGGGTTAGTGAAGGAAAGGAGGTTAAGGCTGGACTGTGGAGACCTCTGAATGCCAAGCTGAGGAGTTTGAAATTTACCCTGTGTGCAATGGGGAACAACTGAATGCTTTTGAAGCAGTACTGTAGGTGGGAAAAGTTATACCTAGCTCCAGGGATGCTACAAAATTTCTAATTTAAAAGCCCTATGATTCAATGATTCCTGATAAAACTGCTCTAGCTCTAGCTACATCGCTATGTTTAGCCAACATTTAACAAGTAATTAAGAAATTACCTCCGAACTTCTGTATGGCTTTCTCTACTGCATCACTGATTTGCTGTTCATCTCTCACATCAACAACACATGGTAAGGCCTTTCCTCCAACAGCTTCAACTAGAAAGGAAAAACATGAAAAGCATTCATATTTTTTCCTAAGGAAGAAACAAAGATATACCCAAGTAGACTTTATAATTTTACCAGTGATGTCATCTTACAATAGGGGTATATTCTCCTAGGATTATCCTAGGAGATTAGCAGTAAAACCAATCCTACTTTAAAGAAAAGAGAGGAGTCAGTTAAAGACAATTTTAGAAGAAACTAATTCATTCTTCAGTGAATTAACTATTACCTTGGAAAGGTGTTAAAATTGAAAAAAACTCAGGCCTCCATCTTCAAGCAGATGGAACATGATTTTTTTATAACACTTTTTACTGATATCTTTTGATACATATAATTTTTATTTCTAAATATAACCCTACCTCTTCCTCACCCAGAGAGCAATCCCTTATAACAAAGAATAAAGAAAGAAAAAAAGCAATTCAGCAAAACTAATCCAACACATAAATAGAATCTAACAGTATAGTGTTTCACATCAATAGCCTCTGAAAATAAGGAAGGTGAGGGGAGGTTGTATGCTCTTGATCTTTTTTGAGGATCAGGCTTGATCATTATAATTACATATTAGGAGATATGATTTTTAAAGCACTTTTCAGATGTGATGGAAAGACTAGGATAGTATATTGGAAAGCACAAAGGAGCAGTGTTCAGGTCATGACTCCAGACCTTATTAAGGGCTTAAACTTAAACTTTCTAAGCATAAGTTTTTTCTCATCTGCCAAATGGGGCTACCTACTTGACAGTGTTGCTATGGGGAAAATGATCTGATTCTTTAAACATAAATCATTATACAAATACAATTAGCTATTTCTATGGAAGGCTTTGATTAAATTCTCAAGACGGTGCTTTCCCAGCTCATTTTTTAAAGACATTACACCAAAAAGGTCATTGCCATAATAAAACTTACTTTCTTCAGCAGCAGTATAGATGGTGCCTGGAAGTTTAGGATGGGCCTGGGTAGTCTTTGCAGCAATAACAATATTTGCCCCATCTTTTGCAGCTTTCAATGCAATTGCTTTGCCAATGCCACGGCTTGCACCCGTGATAAAAAGAGTACATCCTGCTAATTTTCTGAAAGAGGAGAAAAATATCAGTTAATATAAGGAATTTAGTTACCCTTATATAAAATGCATGTTACAACTTAAATGAGAATATACACTAAACTGCAAACTAATTCAGAGATTTTGGGTAAATAACCCTTAAGAAGAAATTTTTCAATTTTTCACTGAAATTAAGTCAAGGAAGCTAATAAAAGGGGCAGAGCCAAGATGGCAGAGTGAAAGCAGTGACTTGCTTGAGCTCTCCCCCAAACCCCTCCAAATACCTATTAAAAAAATGGCTCTAAACAAATTCTAAAGCAGCAGAACCCACAAAAAGACAGAGTGAAGCAAATTTCCAGCCCAAGACTGTCTGAATGATTGATTGGAAAGGTATTATCTTGCCGGGTGGGGAGAGAAGCTCAGTGAGGTGAGGGCGCTCAGGCCTCAGCAAACCTGGAGCAGGCCTCAGAGCACTGAACCACAGGCAGCTGTGGCGGCTTCCATACTTCTCAACCCAGGAACGCCAAAGACTACTTAGAAGGTCAGTGGGAAAAGTCTGTTTCTGCGGTGAGAAAGGAGCTAGGTTTCAGAGTTAGTTCCAGAGCGCAGAGCACGGGCCCTGTAGCATTGGCTGTGTCCTGAGCTTCCAGCCCACAGACTGAGGGGGAATCCAGTGGCTGATCAGAGGGGATTGCAGGGATCTCTTTGCCAGTGCTAAGGCAAGAATCTCTTGCTTTACCCATGCTTGAATCTGGGTCACAGTTCTGGGCAGTGGTCCTGGGGCAAGGAGGAACGCTGGCTTGGTGGACCTTGTAGTGGCTGTGGAGACAAAACCTTCCTCACAGTTCCAGGACAGAAAGGAGTGCTTGTGCTCACTAACAGACCAGAGCACAGGCCAGGAAAGGAGTAAACACCTCACCCCTTTATCATACCACCTTGGAAGAAATGAAAATTTACAGGTCCCTACAAGTATCTCTGAAAACAGCTGCACAAACCCCTGAAGCTTGGGACAGTACATTCTCCACATTGGAAGCAGACTCTTACCTTAACAAAGAGTTTAAAACTCAAGTAATTGGCCAGGATCATGAGCAACCAGCACAAAAAGTATCTTACTTTGGTGACAAAGAAGATCAAAACATACAACCAGAAGAAGACAACAAAGTCAAAGCTCCTACATCCAAAGCCTCCAAGAAAAATATGAATCAGTCCCAGGCCTTGGAAGAGCTCAAAAGAGATTCTGAGAAGCAAGTAAGAGAAGTAGAGGAAAAACTGGGAAGAGAAATGAGAGTGATGCAAGAAAATCATGAAAAACAAGTCAACAGCTTGCTAAAGGAGACCCAAAAAATACTGAAGAAAACAACACCTTAAAAAATAACCTAATCCAAATGGCAAAAGAGGTCCAAAAAGCCAATGAGGAGAATGCCCTCAAAAGCAAAATTGGCCAAATGGAAAAGGAAGTCCAAAAGATTACTGAAGAAAATACTTCTTAAAAATTAGAATAGAGAAATCGGAAGCTAGTGACTTTATGAGAAATCATGACATTGTAAAACAAATCCAAAAGAATGAAAAATAGAAAAACTGTGAAATATCTCATTGGAAAAACAACTGACCTGGAAAATAGATCCAGGAGAGAGAATTTAAAAATTATTGGACTATCTGAAAGCCATGATCAAAAAAAGAGCCTAGACATCATCTTTCAAGAAATTATCAAGGAAAACTGCCCTGATATTAGAACCAGGGCAAAATAGAAATTGAAAGAATCCACTGATCTCCTCTGAAAGAGATCCCCAAAGGAAAAGTCCTAGGAATATTGTAGCCAAATTCCAGAGTTCTCAGGTCAAGGAGAAAATATTACAAGCTGTCAGAAAGAAACAATTCAAGTATTGTGGAAACACAATCAGGATAACACAAGATTTAGCAGCTTCTATATTAAAGGACCACAGGGCAGGGAATATAATATTCTGGAGGGCAAAGGAGATAGGATTACAACCAAGAATCACTACCCAGCAAAACTGAGTATAATCCTTCAGGGGAAAAAATGGTCATTCAGTGAAATAGAGGACTTTCAAGCATTCCTTGATGAAAAGACCAGAGTGAACAGAAAATTTGACTTTCAATACAAGACTCAAGTGGAACTTGAAGAGGTAAATAGGAAAAAGAAATCATAAGAGACTTATTAAGGTTGGACTGTTTACATTACTGCATGGAAAGATGATATTTATAACTCATGAGACTTTTGTCAGTATCAGGGAAGTTGGAGGGGGAAAAATTATATGGATAGATAGATAGATAGATAGATAGATAGATAGATAGATAGAGGGCACAGGGTAAGTTGAAGATTAAGGGGTCATATCGGGAGAATAAAATTAAGGGATGAGAGAGGATTACACTAGGAGAAGAAGAAAGGGAGAGATAGAACGGGTAAAGTATCTCACAAAAAAAAAACCCAGAAAAGAAAAGGCTCTTACAGTGGAGGGGAAATGGGGGAAGGTGAGAGGGAATGAGTGAATCTTATTCTCATAGGATTTGACTTAAGGAGGGAATAACATACACATTCAATTGGGTAAGGAAATCTGTCTTACCCTACAGGAAAACAGGGGGAGAATGGGACTAGTGAGGAGGGCAGATTGGGAAAGGGGGTAATCAGAAGCAAATACTTCTGAGGAAGGACAGGGTCAAAAGAAAGAACAGAATAAATGGGGGGAGGCAGGATAGAATTAAGGGAAATAGAGTTAGTTTTTCACAACACATCTACTATGGAAGTGCTTTGCATAACGGCACGTGTATAACCTATATTGAGTTGCTTGCCTTTTCAGTGAGGGTGAGTGGGGAGTGAGGAAGGGAAAAAATTTGGAACCCAAAGTTTTAAAAACATATGTTTAAAAAAATGTTTTCACATGCAACTGGGAAATAAGAAATACAGGAAATGGGGTACAGAAGTCGATGCTGCCCTACAGGATAAGAGAAGGGGGGAGAAATAGAAGAGAGGACAGACTAGACAAAGGGGTATTCAGAAGGCATGCCATCTTGGGGTGGGGGGAGGGGCAAGATGGGGTGAAAATTTGGAACTCAAAATCTTGTGGAAGTAAATGTTGAAAACTAAAAATAAATGAATTTATATTAAAATTTTAAAAAAGGACACTAATAAAAGAAAAAAAATGTACCTGTTATATAACAGGGCTTACTGAATGTTTTTTGACTAATTGATAATAGGCCTAACATTTCCCAATGTGTTCAAAAAAATTAAATTAACAAATTTTAGTTAAATGAAAGCAGAGTTTTATTTATTTATATTTTTCTTAAAGTCTCAACTCAAAGTGTTATTACTTTAACCCATGAATTAACATTCTGTCTTCACTTGGGTACATTCTGTTTGCTAACAGTTGCTTAGATAACAAGTGCTCCCTTTGTGACATATTCTTAGCTCACTTATGAGAAACAGCCATTTATTGAAGTGTCTCTACATTGTAAAACTCTATTAATCTGTTTCTACTCTGTAAAAACATAAGAATTCTGAATTATTCTATATAGAATGTAAAAGCAGCACAGGGGTTCATCAAAGCAGTTTCAGGACAAAGTTTCTAGAACTGGTTCTTGTGCTTACTCTCCTCCTTCATAATTTCTCAGTTCCAAATTCTAAATTTTCCTGTCATCAGAGAAGTGAAACATCTAATCTATAGTTCGATGATATGCATAAATGCAATAAAAGTATTAGACTACCTTTTTAAAAGGGAAAGTATAAATACTTGTTTAGCTATGAAAAATTCAAATATTTCAAAACAGTCATTAGTAATTGTAAAAATGAAATATATAAATTAAAAGTTAATAATGTTAACCAAGAGAAACAGAGATAGTTGGGGGATGGGGAGCTAGCCTTTGAGATCAGGAAGACCTGAGTTCAAGTACTATTCCTGAAATATACTAGTTAGTGAGCATCAGCCAAGTCTCAAATTTTCAGTGCTCCAAGATTCACTGTAAATTTCAGACAAAGTGTGGAAGCTTCCATACTTGAAGAGTTGCCTTGCACTAATGAAATCACAGGTCCTAACCAAATAAAAGTTTTAAACAGCATACAAAAGTATTACAGGTTATTATAGTCTACAAACCTAATAAACTAGTCTATGTAACTGACAAACCTTTCCCATGTTCCAAGAGAAATTAGTAGTAATTATCAACACAGGCAGAAAATTATTAAAACTTCAAGCTAAAAACAAGAATGTTTGTGAAACTTGGTTAAGATAATAAAAAGTAAATTAGAGCTAGTTGTTTATAATGTATCTCATAATTACAGTATTTTAACAATAACATAAGCACTTCAAATATTTAGGTCAAAGGCACAATATCTAAAGCTTAAATGTTTTATAATACAGAATTTAAAAAAAATAACTTCAGAAAAAATAACTTTTTTAACTATTTAAGAACTGAATGATTGAAACTAGTAGGTTAGACTAGATGTCCACTGAGGTCTTTTCCAAATGTGACATTCTGGAATTGTGGGAGAAACAAGGCCTGACAAAAAAGAGATCATAATGAAGAGAGTGAAGAGAGAGTAAAGAGAGAGAGTGAAGAGAGAGAGGAAGAGAGTTGTGTGTTTATAGTAAAATTTCACCTAAATGAAGATCTCACAAAGGGGGTGGGTGTGTTGTGTGTGTGTGTGTGTGTGTGTGTGTGTGTGTGTAAAGTATAGTAAACTTTCGCCTAATTAAAGATCTCTCAAAGCTTTCCTGAGGGGAGGGGGAGGGAAGGCAAAGAGGTTATGCAGCCAAGATCACGAAGAATACTGACAGAAAGGTCTTGAAAGCCCCCAAAATGGGAGAGGGCCCCCAAAACATAGAGAAGGATGTCCCTGGAAATGTCTCTTTAAAAAAGTTTGTCCTCTGAATTCGAATTTAAACTTTTATCACTTTGAGTGAAAGTTTCAAGCAGCACTTAAGCCCTGCTCCCCTTCATTCCTCCTGTCAAGACCTTTTGTAAGAAGTTAGCTCCTTGATTTCCTGGCAGTACCCCTCAAGTTGATGTTAAAAGTGACTTCAGTTTATAGTTTGGGGCGAAGAAAAAGCTGTACACAGGATTCCCTTTTGGAGAAGAGGACATGTAAAAATGTATTAAAGTGGAGATTTTTGCGGCAGAAGTCACTTCCGTTTGGAGGTCAGGGATTGTAAATTATTCCGGTGGGATACAAGTCATTCGAGAAGGGGAAAGAATTGTAAGGGTCACTCCACTCCCCCCATTATTGTAAAAGTCCCTACCGTTTGGGGGTGAAGCAAGGGATTGTAAAAGTCACCCTCATTTGAGGAGGCTTGTAAAAAGTTACTTCTATTTGGGGGACAGTGGGCTTGTAAAAAGACGGACACGGAAACGGTGTTTGCAAAAAAAAAAATCACTCCCGATTGAGGGAAAATGCTTGTAGAGAGGGCCCCTGTCACTCCAGGTAGGGCAGGAGCTTTGTAAAAAGTCACCTTCGCATTAGAGGGGAAGGGACCAGGGGATATGAGTGTTTGTGAAAAAGCCCTCCTTTGAGGGGAAGGGGACAAAGGGGTGTGTGTGTGAGGGAATTATAGAGGTCAGGCCAGTTGTTACGTGTGTTGTGTGTTTATCTCCATTTATTGGGAGTGGAGGGGTCTGGAGGGTGTTCAGGCCAGGTGTGTGTCTGGGGTCTGGCTGATTCGAGCTGTCTGTGTGTCTCCATGTGCATCGTGTCTCTGTGCTGTGTATTGTCTCTCTGTGTAGTGTCCATGTGCACTGCGTCTTTGTGTCTCCGCGTGTATTTCTGTGTTGTGTCCATTTGTGTGTCTCTGCGTTCTGGCCGTGTCGAGGTGGGGGATATGAAGAGGGTCCGGCTGCCGTCTCCCCTGCCCCACGCTCGGGCCCTTACCCGGTGTTGGGCAACATGCTTCCCGTGAGGCTGGCGTGCGGCACAGGGCAGTGGAGGGCCTATGGAGGCTCCTGGACAGCAGCGGCAGCAGCTCGGGTCGTCCAGCTCAGGCGGAAGTGGCCGCAACCGAGGAGGAGGAAGAGGAGGAGGAGGAGGAGGAGAAGCAGCAGCGGCGGCGGCGGCGCGTGGCAGCTTCGGCAGCGGCGGCTGCGACCAGAGAAGGGCAAGGAGTCGGGCTCTAGAGCTCGGTACGAGCGGAGCTCGGCTTGGGGCTCCTGGGGTTAGGAGTGACAGGAGATAAACTTGAGGAGAGTGGAGGTGAGGAGGGTGTGTGACCTTTAAGTATAAGTCCCGCAGCCGCCTTTCCCTGTACAAAAATCACAAGACTCTCACAGCCAGGATGACGATGTTAAATCTGCTGCAGCAGCGGGAGCCCGCGAGCCACCCCACTCGGCCCAGGCTCGCGCTCCCTGGCCAGGGGGAGGAGCATGCGTCAATCCGTCCCCCAGCGGTCTACGGCTGGCTCCGTGGGCCCTGCGCCCGGCCGGCCCGGCCAGCCCACCCGCTAGCGCGCGCCTCGCGAGGCAGGCCCCGTCCTCTCTGGCACCGCCCCTGGTCGCGCGGGCACTTAACTTACCTGAACAATCGGTCTCCTACTGACGTCCACGTTCCGGACGTGTAGGCTGCCCCGTACGGGTGCGCGCGATGAGGGGCGCCAGGATCCCTGTTACCTTGCGTGCCCCACCCACAGCTTCGCCTCTTCCTCTTTCTCCCCATTTTCTTTCTCTAGAGAGGGTAGAAAAGGACAGGTTAAGGTCAAGGTCATGGTCATAGTAGAAGACTACACTATGTTGGGGTAGAGTGGAAAAAGAGAAAGGAAGAGTGAGGAGAACGGGAGAGAGGCCTGGGAAAGGAAAATACTCTAGGTTGTGTAGAGTAAGGGGTACCGTGCTTTGAAGGCATGATTGCCTTCAGTTCCCGGTGCTAGGCTCCATTGCCTCATCTATAAAAAGAAGAGTTGGTCTAGTGCAGGGATTCTTAATCCAGGGTTTGTGGGCTTTAAAAAATATGTAATTTTTGATAACTTATCTCAATATAATTGGTTTCCTTTATTTTATTTTAGGCATAGTCTGAGAAAGGGTCCATTAGCTTCCCCAACTGCCAAAAGGGAGTAATTTAAGTTCCATTCCAGCTCTGAAATTCAATTACTTTTAGGAAACCCATTGACAAACTAGAGGGTGTCTGGAGTAGGGCATCCAAGATACTGGATTTAGAAACCATATCATATGAAGAAGAGTTGAAGGAAATGACAGTTTTGCAGCTTGGAGAAGAGGAGAGGGGAAGATAAGAGATTTGACTGCTGCCTTCAAGGTTTTGAAAGGCTGTCGTGACAGAAATAGATGAATTCTGGGTCACTGCAGAAGTACATAAACACGTTTTCTATGATGGGAGTTCTCCACCTCAATGAAATGAGGTCCAGGAATACCCTCACCCCCACTCTGTATCCCCCAAATAGATAGAAATTGTGAATGTGAGAGATGATCTCTCAGAAGTGAAGCCTCCTCAAAGAGTCAATAGTTCTTGTTAACGATTCTTGATTGTTGCTTTCAAAACCCTCCCACTGCTCAGTTAAGCACATAGCAAAAAGAATAGCCCTACCCCCAACCTTGAACTGCTTGCCCTTGCAAAACTTCTAGCCTTTTCTTGTCTCTGGGCAAACTTGTGTAACTACCTTTGTTCTAGATTTTTGTGAATAGCTTGTGTCTACTGAAAGCCCAGACAATGGGATAAGGGGAATGGGGGTTATGGAGGAGGAGTTCAAATTAGGGTGTAAGTAAGGCTTCCTTTCTGCTCACCAATTTGTACTCTCCTGGCCGACAATGGCAACCAGGTGTGGCACCGTTTCTCATGAGAAAGCAATAAACTCCTTTCTACTTTCAAGGTATCTAAGTTTTTGTTTTTATTTTTGAGTAAGTGGTCTCTGTCCCACACATGAAGAAGCAAATTTGGGGAACATTAAAAAAAAATAGAAACAACCACCAGTGGACTGTTTTGTTAGGTAATAGAGATAGTCCACCAAAAGTTAAATGACATTCTATGTCGTATTCTGCCTTTGGATCATAAATGTAGAACTAAAAAGGACTTCATTGTATAGATGTGGAAACTAAGGCACATGGAGTTTAAGCTACTTGACAAAGATCATACAAGCATAGAGATGTGTAGGATGCCACTCAAATTAAAAAACAAAGCACAGAGGTATCCAAGGAGAAACGGAAAGTTGATTTATTATTTCAAATCTCGAGATTTGGGTGTCCCTCCACCGGTATACTCTGATGAGGGGAGACAAAGACACAGAAGCAGAAAGCCAGGTTAAATATTCCTAACAGGTAAATTCCCCCTCCCACCAGCTGTCCATCACTCTTGAGACTCTACCATAGAACAAAGGAAATAGTATACTTCTCTACATTTCTTAGTTTGTTTGAGATAATGTCAAAGAAGCAATTAAAAATGTGCAGTCAAGATAGATGTAGTACTGTGGAGCCAGGCCACCATGACAGAAAGATAGTTTACACATGTATTGGGAGGTCTGAGAGATTGAACAGACAATGGGAATAGATAATGGAGGGAACTGGAAGGCATCAGAGTAAGGTCCTTTCAAAGGGAGATAAGGGGAGTAGATAAGGAACCTTTTAAGAGTTTTCTGTAGACATTTGTCTGTAGACAAATGGAAGCCAGATTCTTTTAGGGCAAGGGGCAAAGGTGCATCTGAATCAGATTAAAAGATAGGCTAAGCTTTAACAACTAGACAAATTTTAACTACTGATATATGGCACTAAAAAAAGAACTTACAGAAATCTATACTTAACCCTATCCTACCTCTTCAACTTACTACCAGATTTAGGATAGTCTTATCCCAAACCTTAATTACACTGAGAAGTCTTCACTGGGACATCCCACTGAGGGATGAGATTATGAACCCAGACTCTTCGAGTCAGTGCTCTTTCCACTGTAGCACTAGGAATGCCTAGAAAGGTTAAAATCTGTCTCTGCTCTCAAAGAACTCAGAGTCTAAGGGGGGAGACAACATACAAATAACTATATGCAAGCAAGCCATATACAGATTAGTTTGAGATAATGAACAGAGGGAAGGAACTAGCATTTAAAGGGAATAAGGGATGGATTCTTATAGAAGGTAAAATTTTAGCTGGGACCTGAAGGAAGCTAGGGAAGCCAAGAGATGAGATGAAGAGTCAGAGCATTGCAGGCATGGGGGACAACCAGTAAAAGTTCACAGAGGAATACAAGGAATAACAAGGAGGCCAGTGTCACTGGTTTACAGATTATATGGAGTTGAGAAGGTATAAGAAGACTGGAAAGGTAAGAGGGGGCAGGTTATGAAGGGCTTTATATGCCCAATAGAGGTTTTTTATTTGATCCTAGAGGTAATAGGAAGCCACTAGAAATTATTGAATGGGGTGGAGTGTTTGGGGTGGGAGGAAGATGAGGGATGACATGGTCAGATCTATGCTTTAGGAAGATGAGTTTAACAGTAGAAAAGAAACTGGACTGGAGTCAGGGAGAGACCTGAGGCAAAAGACCAACTTGAAGGCTATTGTAAAAGTACAAGTAGGAGATGATAAGGACCTGTTACCAGGGTGATGATCTAGATGAATGAATTCAAAAAGACATTCTGACCTCACTCAGTATGCCTGCAGTTTGACCCCGACCCTTTTTTCATGTTAATCTTATTCCTAGCTAGATGTTGAAGGAGTTCATGGTATTTGCTCCCAGGAAAGGCTGGCTACCCCTCCAGGAACCAGATATTCATAAACAGGAATACTCTCAAGGATATTTTGAGAGCAGCTCCTTTCCCACAGATCATGTATTTTTTGGCTAACTGCCTTCTTTATTAGAAGGAGCTACTAAAGGCAGATAGTCTTAAGTCATCTTTGGAGTCTTGCCCTGTGGTACGGACATGTAGCCTAGGATTTTCCTACTGGGACTCTGTGGGCTGACCTGGGACTCCCCAGCCTCGTGATGATTGATTATGGTATAATTTGATACTGATTGTGACTGAAGTTGTAATTATTGAGATTTATACCAATTGAGACTTTAGTTATTACTGATTGAGACTTATGCTGTAACTATTGGGACTTACTAACCCTATTTTACTTACTAACCCCAACCCTATTTTACTATTTTAATAATAAATACTTTTACTATACACATATATAAATCAAACTTGAGACTCTGTGTCATTTCTAAACCATTCCAAACCGAAACTAATTTATAAGCTGCTTCACAATATACGTGGTAGCAGTGTTTTGGGAGAGAATAAAGACTATGCTAGAGATATTATGAATGTAGAATATACAAAATTTGGCAACATTAACAATGGTGAAGGGGTAGTGGGCAAGAGTGACAAGTTGAGGATGACACCTAGGTTGCAGTCATGGAGGAATGAAGAGGATAAAATCCTTTTAATGTTTCCTTATGAGCCTAATGATAAAGTCCAAGTTCCTTCAATCAATCAAGTGTAAGGAGGTATATGTGTGTTGCCCATTTAGGCTATATCCATATAGGCCAGTTTAGATTTGGCTTGCAGGAAAACATGAATAGATATTTTTAGAGTCTCTTCCACCCACCCTTTTTGAAGGAAGACATTGTTCCCACCAAGAAGAGAAGCAGGAGATTGGCACCAAAGGCTGACCACTCTGCTCTTCTTAGAGAATGGGTACCAGACTAGGATTACATCTTTCTGCCCCCACCAAATATTGTTAGTTTAAGGGAAATAATTTTTAAGTTCAAGCTGAGTTCCTGATTGCTATCTTTAGCAGAGAAGTAGTGCACCAAACTGTATATCCAAAGATTGGTTCCCCACCAAATGCCATTTCCTCTAAGACAACAGATAGCAAATAAACCCATTTATTCCAGTGGAGTGCAAACAGAAATCAGAGAAAGCATACAGATGAGTATATACCAGCTTGGAGTGAATGAGCTCTCCCATTGGGAGTAGCTATCTTGAATCAACTAAAGAGTTCTAGATTTCACCCTGGAATATTTCCTAAAGTCTATTGTGTAATAAACTGAGGATAGAGACATGCAGAGATTCTGGAACTGCATGTACTCTTTATCAAAACCCAGAAGCCAAAAGACCAGGCTCTTTCTTCCCCCAAGCTCTTGACATCTCTGTTCCTCAAATAAGCAAAGCATTGTGTAATCAATCTCCACCAATAAGGAGAATCCCATACAAATAAATTTGAGCTGTAGGTTACACAAGGATTTATTAAGCAACCAAAAAG